GATTCACCGAAAGATTTTTGCAAAACGCCATTTCTTAGAGTAGATTATGGCAGTTTGAATCAACGTATCAAGGCTAAGCTTAGTGTTGGCCAGAATAGAGATGTCGTCGGCGTAAGTTGGATTTCCACATAATATGGTACCCATCTGTGTGCATATGTTTGAGCGTTCTAAATTACATAATAATTCATCTATGTACACTGTGTAGAGCCAGCCAGCAAGAATACTTCCCTGACGGATAGATTGCTTTATAGGGAACCAGCTGCTTATGTTGCCTTTAAAAATAATTGCACCCTGCATTCTTGAGTACAGTTTTCTTAAGACGTGCCATAGTCTACCTGTTATTCCAATGTTATGAAGTTTGAAAAAGAGGCCATCGTGCCACACCGAATCGTAGGCCTGGGTACTGTCCATACATGCCATGAATGTCTTTTGGTTTAGTTCATCGTTATAACGTACAGTCTCTAGAACGTTAAACGAGCAAGTGACGCTGCACATGTTAGGAGCGTAGGCATTTTGCTGGTTGCTGTTTAAGTACTTACAATTGTTTCTGGTTTCACTCTCAAGTAAGCGTTGTCGAACTAGTTTTTCCCATAACTTTTCCAACGCTCAAAGCTGAAATCAGCCCGTATTTCCCGAATTGTCCCCAGGTCCGTGCACGTCATAACGGCATTTTTCGTAAAATAGCGTCATCATTATCATTGATAACTCAAATACCAATTTGGTATATGCTATTGCTTAGAGATAAGTAGCTCTGCTCAAAAATACATTTTTAGAATGGCTACTGATTTTCAAAATGGCCGCCATTTTTTCGTAAAAACATTATCTTTGATAACTCAAATACCATTGGGTGGATTTACTTTAAATTGTACATATGCATATGTATGCTGATGTCTAGGGCCTAAGGAGTTCTGTTCAAGAAGAAATTTCTAAGATGGCAGCTGAATTTCAAAATGGCCGCGATCTTTTTATAAAAAACATAATCTTTGACAACTCAAGTACCAGTGGATTTGGTTCAAAATTCATATCTTGATATCTAGGGACAAAGGAGCTCTGTTCAAGAAGACATTTTCAAGGTGGCTATATATCGAAACAATTTTTGCTCGGTTGGATTTGCTACTCCGTGGAGTCGCTGTTTTTTAGTTTATGTAGCACCCTTGACACTGTATCGTGTCTTCTGGTGAAATTAAGGGAATTATTTGATTCTGCAGCCAAGTCAGTCGGCCTTGTTCATTTATTCAAAAATACAAATGAATGTCTCAAATTGAAACTATCAGCGATATATAGTATTGATAAATATGAATGAATCTAAATTCATCCAACACTTGAATGCTTCCTAAATATGCCCAGAGAAAGTACATATCTCGTACCAAGTCTCACTGTGGAAGAACTCGACAGGCCGGTTAACAAAGCGGATTCGTTTCGGTAACAAAATGGTGCAGCTTTGGCGGAAAGAATTCGATGAGATTTTCATTTTCCCATGATTTCAGGAGATGGAGGCAAAAATGTGTGTCAGCATCATATTTTTAAGAAAATCTAAGGAAACCCTAAGAAAATCTAAGGAAACCCTTGTATTCATTAGGTAGGTCCGCCAGTCGTAGTTTAACGCCCTTTATCTAGGCCAGTATGTGTTAATTAAACGCTTGGGTAATTCACGTCCACACATGTGTAATTAACGTAGGCCTATAGATGCACATGATTAAACAACGCATGTATTCATTGGGTAGGTTCACCAACCGGCGGGTATGAACGTTTACGCTGATCGACGTTCTAATTTTAACTGTTCTCATTTTTATCTAGATTGAAATGCAACATGATATGATACCACTATTGTTTTTCTTTTGCAATCAAAGTTTTTCACCACTCATTATTAATACATGTAATATTTCTACCAGCCACGTTGTAATGCAACACTATCTACACCTACTACAGGAAGTGAGTTCTTTTTCGGTTAAATATGCAATGTTTGTATTAATTCGTTCACCTAAAACCATTAGTATTGGTTGATTGACATACAATAGCTTTGTTGCACATTACTTTGAAGTATGTTCATGATCTCCTTTAAATTTTAGTGTTGAAATAATTCAAATTAACATTATTTCTTATGACTGAAAATACTCGGACATTTTCGAATTTTTATTGAAAAAGTTTATTTTTAAATGTTTGATTTTCCCACCATTACAAAAGTTAAATTCTTTACAGTGATCTTAAAAGACTGAACGACACCAGCTTCAAGGGAAAAAATTGTCAAAAGTTACATCATTTCAGAAATTCATGATGAACTTTATTATTCCATAGGATTTTCAAAATGTCAGGATGTCACTATAATGAGATGATATTGTGAGTCTATTTCTCGCTCCCTTTCAACCGATTTTCTAGTCTAGCTCCAAGACTCCAAGACTCCGTGACCCACCAACTACTAGACTAAACATGGGGGGGGGGGCACAAGGGCTTGTAGCTCGACTACCGATTTTCTTAATTGGTATGAATAGGCATTGATTCAAGAAATTTCTACATTATTTGTAAAGAAATTTTTCAATACAAAATTTCAAGATGAGTCCCGCGAATTTTATTTTCAAGAAAAAAGCTATAAATCCATTATTAGTGGACAAATTAGAACACCAATATTTAGTTAAATGGTTTATATATCACCTCTTGTTATATGGGTAATACCATGTGTCTGAATCTTATTATCTGCAAATCAAGGGTAAATATAATATTGTGATATATTAGATTAATAAGTGCTTAGGAATATTATTTTTTCCTCGTTGGGACATGGGTCATTTTCTAGTTTCGAGCTCGTCGGTAGTTTCAATCGACGCGAACGACTTTTCTTCTCGAATATATGATCAGAAATCAAAATCTCCTCAGATAATGAAATCAGGATAGTAAGGAACATATTGGCATGCTTTTCAAAAACAGTTTACCATTTTGCATTCTCTATCCGTCTAATTCATTATTGCTAAGTCATTGTAGAAAATGCACTCATTTGCAAACTACTTGTGGGTGTAAAGATTAAGGAAATTATGAAAAGTCTCACTCAAATATGACAGGTAGACAATCCTTCGTATTTGTTCTATTCTCTAATTAACTTTTAGACGATATTTTTAGTCATTCTGTCAAAAAGTACAAGAGGCATGAAGACAGAATACCTTCGCATTCGACCTTGGGATTAACATACATAGTGCAAAACCCCGGGTGCAAAACTAACCCTTTTCGTATATGCCTTGGTATTGTGAATAAGGACTGAGAGAGGTCCAATACCGGGAGTCCAATAGCCACAAGACAAATGTTGCAACAATTGCATGTTTCTAAAACTCATTAAAAGTGATATTTAAAGACATTAACCTTTAGGAGAACTATATCTTTACTGTTAGAAGGAAAAACTAAAGAAGGTTTATCGTGATTTTTGTAATCCTATAGGAGGACTGCTTTTCCAATCTGCATCTTATTTTCACCGATATCATCGCTGCACAATTTTCCCAAAGCGCAATATCTTGTAATTTCCGTCGGGACACTTTTCTCCCCGAATGAAGCCTTTAAATGAGAATTTTTACAAAATTTAATATATAGAACTTAAAACCTAAAAGTCTAGATCTATGTCTCCCCACGATTAATGATACGGTTACACCACCGGCTAAACATGCTAAGAGTTTAAGAAAACCTACACCAGATTAAAAATTCGTTTGGACCAAGTTGAAAGTGAGAAAAACCTCAAAACTGGTACACATGAAAAAATTGTTAACAAACTAATAAAGATATAGAGAAGGATGTCAATTTGACCCCACCGACGTGACACGTGACAAAAACAACAGCAATACAATATATCCAGAAAATTGTATCAAATATTGGAAATACAGTACTTTGGAGAATAGGAATTAGGATTTAATTGTTGTTATTTGTAAACAGTGGATTGATTTATTTGTTAACTTATAATTCTTTAATTACGAGTGTGAAAATCAATAACAATTAATCATTGTATTTAGCGATACAATAAAACATGCCCATGGGCCTAGTGAACACCTCTAAGGTAGTTTTCAAAAGAACCAAGCAATGTTCCTTTAAATGGACTTTCTCTGCCAAAAGAACACTTGTCTACTGGAAAACTAATTGTCCACATTCTGATACTCATAGCATCTTTCTGTTTCACCTGAAACATCTCAGGGCTGAGAAGAAATGAGATGTCATGGTTTAGCATGATGCTGTCCACAAGGAACAATTGGTGACACTGTACGCACATCCTATTGTTTTTAGAGGTGTGAATGAAAGTGCCTTATAAGCCAATATCTAATTTCAATAGGCTTATTAAGTAATATAAATGAGATTGGGATAAGCTAATCATTAATAAGATGTGACCTACTACCTACTGCTAATTAGCCTAATAGTTTTGAAATCATAATGATAATCGGTTATCAATTGAGATGACACTAATGCTTTCTTTAAAGAAGCTTTAAGTACAACAACGGGTCTTATCTAGAGACTGACAAAATTGTTTTTGCAGATGATAGAATAAAAAATCTTTTGAAGATTCAAATTAACAGATTATTAATGCTTTTGAAAGTATTAATGCTTTTGAAAATAGAGTTGAAAGAGCCTGAATATCAGTTCAATACAGGGGGCGGAAATGGAGTATTTTTGTTTGAAAAGCATGTAGTCTCCAACCCCTGCGATATAGAGATGTCAAAGTCTGTTCAAAAGCATTTATCAGAAGTTAACTTTTCTAAACCATTTCAAAAAGTTCAAGAAAATGATATGAGTTGACACATTCCCTAGTTACTTAAGTATAAAGACAAGTAAAACTGGATATTTTGAAAAATTTCCAGTGATTGCAATTACAAAAAAATGTTTTACAGGGTGGTGCAGAAATAAGATTAAAGATGTTGCCATTTCAATAATTCTGAATTAATATACAAGTATAATATAACACATATTTTAATCGATGTATTTAAAGAAGCAATTTATTCAGGTCAATATTTTTAAGTAATTATTTTTAAGAAATAAAATTTCCCCAATAATGTCATTACCATGAATATCAACCAACCATGCATTTCCATTTCAATGTGACATGTATGAAAGAAACTGAATGTTTTTATGATATCAGTTCTGTTACTTATAAGCTACCAAGGCAAGGTTTCTTGGCGAAAGTTGAGAGTCAAAGAGGGGAATAATATGACACTGAAGTCCATGTTCCTTCAGGAACAGTACCCTGTCAATAAGTATGAAGGTTTCCACAACAGGTCCAAGTGAGAGACGTAGCATGTTAAATGCACCATAGTTTCTCCATTTTGCAGACAAAGATTCCACAGTTTCAAGATCAGAATCTGTGAGATTGGCATCCAGACCTAAATGTTCCAATCTTGATGTGATGTAGTTCACTAGGTTTTTATTTTTCTTAAATGACTTGTTTTTTGTACATCGAAGTTTTGCAGTTGCATCTGGGTTTCGTTTTTCAATAATTGTCTGCAATACAGCTCTGTAGCTCTGGAATTTCACATCGCCAGTGCCATCTTTTAATTGTGCTGCATAAGAATCTATGGAATGGCATGCCAATTCTGCAGTTTCCCATGTCAATACTGGATTCAATCTTTTAACATAGCTACTGAGTGGGAAGCCAACATCAGAGCTTAGGGTCATTTTCATGTAACAGCAACCTACGACAGCAATAGCCTTTGCGCTGGGACAATTCACAAATAATCGCAACATTGTTGGAATCAGATCCCCACAGGAGTGTAAGCCTGTTAGTACAAAATGACCAGATGAGTCTAGATTTAATGACTTTGCGAAACTACTGGGATCAACAGATGGCTCTATATAATGAACAATATGATTAGGTAGATCATTTTGTTGGTCATTGCAGACATCCTGATCATTCTTATTTGATATTTTACCATTTTTCTTTTTTATATCTTGTTGTACTTCTTTATCAAATTGTTGAGCTTTAGGAGCATGTGAGGAAGCAGATTCCACAGTAGTGACCTTGAGCCCATATCCAAATGTAAGCAGTCTTGACAAGTGACCTTGACCTGCTCCCACATCTACAACATTGTCGCAGTCTACCGATTTACAAATGTTATGAATGAGCTTAGATAAGCGATGTATCTCATGTTGTTTCTTTGGTTTTACATGACGCCTGAAGCTGTGCTCTAACTTAAGATATTGGCCATTAAGAATAGCACCCTTTTCCTCTTTGTCATTTTTGCTTAGTCCATTGGGATCATTTGTTTGTGAATTGTTGAATAAGGATTCAGTTTTGATTGGAGTCCTTGGTAATGAGTAACACTGGGTAGCAGCTTTGAATGATAGCAAAGACAACGGCCATATATCTTTTTTTCTAGGATCACATTCCATGAAGGTATTGTTGATGAAACAAGTAAGTTCTTTTGGATCTCTGTCATTCAGAACCTTGCTCCATTTGGGGTTCAATTCATCCCATAAATCATTTGTAAAAAAATCTGACATATAGGCATTGGTAAGCCATTGATATTGGGAAAGCAGTTTATGACATGATTGAGCGATATATGTAAGATCAATCTTAGAGTTTTCGTTTGAGAGAGAATCGATATGTTTACTTTGCTCCATCTCATCAGCAGATGGCGCAATTTGAAGCATTTTGACAAGTCTATGAGTATCCTACTGGTTCGAACACCTGTTAGTTTATATATTAGTATAAGTATAATCTGTTGTTTGTTCCTGGGATGGTATTATTAGGAGTATGGTAATCACCAATTGTACTCCACAACATCATACATCACAAACACCTGGAAAAATTGTACATCTGTTATAATTTAGTTAACATTTGTCCAAGTTGTAGGATAAAGAAAAGAATTAGAATACTGATGTGCTTGTGAACAAAAGTTGAAATATAGGCAATCATACAGTACATGAGTACTCCACGCCTATTGTACATTTACATAGGGAATTACATTAGTTGGGGTACATTTTGTACTTTGAGATATTTCGCCCAGACAAAATATGGTGCAATCAATTAAGTATGGCGAGACAAGTTTTCTTCCCATTTCTACAAGTTTCCTGTCGTCTCAGATTTCTACAATATGTCTATATTCAGTTGTAACACACATCCTAAACAAGTGGATTGCCAAACCAAGAGCAAACTTACCAGTTACCAGTTATACTCAGTTTATTATTGGGCAAGGATAACATCACTCAGTGTACATGTAAATTGTATCAAGTCCTTTTTGGGCTTCTACAGGGTTCTTTGGGGGTCCTCACGCTCAGTACTTATTTATACCTTAATAATGTACTGAGCGGAACGACCCCCAAATAATGTACTGAGCGCGAGGACCCCCAAAGAACCACGCTGAAGCCCAAAAATGACTTGATACAACCTCCGGTTGTACAAATGGCATGGGGTTTTGTCTTTTGTATTGCAAATAAATTTATACCCTACATTGTGACCTTATAACCGTACCCCAAGTCCACTGGCTGATCGTTGGAAGTTCTCCCTTTGTTTGTTTGTTCTCTGTCTATACTTTATTCCATATCTGTGAGCATTTGAGTTGACTATCATTTACTTTTATATATCAATATAAAACTTTTTCTAAATTTTCAGAAGCTCTGCCGGATTACGCCTACATGGACACTGTACAAGTTGTTTGATAAAATTCCCGGGAATTAAATGACAAATGCCAAGTTGTGAACATAGGCCAAGGGAAAAGTAATAGTAAGCTGTATATAGAAGAGACAGGTCCACAAGTAAGATTGAAAATTTTTCAAATTTTTTTAGTCTTGGCACTAGTTCTCCTTACTGGTATCAAATTTTATTCCCAAATCTCTCCAAAATCTTCTTCAAAGTGTTTTTCAAACTTATATCATTGTTTTTTTCAAATCTTTATCTAAAAACTGCATATAATACTGCATATAAAACAACAGCTATGGATATCTGCAATTGCCTGGCAAGCTGAAACTGATTGTCACTGGTGGAGGTCAGGGAGGTCAGCAGTGACCAATCAGATCACTTGTTTACTAATGAACTTGCCAGGCAATTGCAGGTTTTCAGAAATTCTCTCTTTTAGACAGCATTATTCACTCTATATCATCTGACTGAGTTTCAATCTTAGGTAAGAGCTACAAACTATCAATTTTCTATCAACTCCCCATGGCTTTTTGAAAATAATACACTAAATATTGTTGAAATCTCCATCTTAACAAGTGGTCTAAGTCAGAGTTGTTCACCTGTCTCTTCCATATACGGCTTACTATTACTTAACCATTGGCCTATGGTTGTGAAGATATCAATTTTCGATGGCCAATGTATGCTGAAGACAATGGATAGCATGAGTTTTCCCTAGGCTATATAACATGGCCGATTTCAATACCCATCTACCTTTCAGAAGTTGCTAATAGTGTAGAAGTTCCTCTTTTTAGAAAATAAGCCTAACATTTTTAAAAAAGTGATAAGATGCGTTCCTAATTTATAACTTTTTTCAGAGTGAGTTGGGTTAATATTTTTACGACTACCGGGGAACTTCACATCGTCGGTTCCCACGCTCGATCACTACGTTCTATTGAGGATAGGTCCGAAGCTTGATAAAGCAAGATGGGAACTTCACCGGAAAGAACCTAGACATATTGTTTTTAAAAAACACTGTATTTATGACCAGAAAGTACTCATCGTTAAATTAAGTCCAAAATCACTTGCCATACAATACCTGGTCCTTTAACAATGATGGCCCGAAATCACTTGAAAAGCAATCAAATTGGTAAAAAAACTGCATGCTTTTGAAATAATTGTTAACCTCGACCCCCCCCCCTCCGAATACCCCCCCCCCCACCCATCGGCTTGCCTACGGAACCTGAATTGTACTTTTATAACCAGTGTACTGCATGTGTATGCTGGTCGGCCTAACAGTATACCATGGACCTACAGAAAGTTCATACTAATACATACAACTACTGATCATGACTAGCACCATTACGAGCTATTAAAATGTATTTCTTGATCAAATTGACTAAATTGAATTTCAGTCCAATGTATTGACATTAGCAATATATTTGCTCACATCATTTACGTCGTTCCCTCGTCGTTCTTTCCCTTCCAGCTGTTACTGTACTTTAATAACTCCGTCAACAAATTTCTTTATAACCATCATATAAAAAGTATCAAACAAAGTTAAACACATTCATTTATTGGTCTTCAGTGTTTAAAACCTTATATACATGTAATATTGCTTACACCGACTCTATTTTTGAATGAAATTAGGCTCATGAATCTTAACTAATCACAGTGCACCTAATTACTTATTGTTTCTTTGAGTAATGGTATTATGCATATGTGAAACCAATGAGTAATAAAAATTAGAGCCAATTTGCAATTTTTACTGAAAATATATAAATGAAGCCATGCATTTATCTTTAAGTTCCACTGATTTGTCATTTACATCATTAATGTTGATGTGCTCGGACAGACTTTTATAACGCTGCAAGTAACACAATATTTACCATTATAAGAAATAATTACAGGATTATTCTGAAGAATTAAAGGATATACATGTACTAATTGGCATTGTGTTTGCGAAATTACATGTTGGTGACAGAACATATGACCAGTTTTAAAACTGTGAACAAATGATCATGTGAATAATTTAGTGATATTAATGGACATATTGCGTTTATTCACAAGCTTAACACTTAATGGATTAACACTATACTATTACTACACGAATAACGGTTCCTGATTTAGTTCCACCAAGACAACGAGAACTGAAGTTAACATATTGTTAGATGTCAACATGAGACGCAAACGCAATTCGCATCTTCTAAAACATGGGATGTAGTTCGACAAGTTTGGCCTGGTACACCATCTTATTTCTTTCAATGGCATTCTCGTCTGCAGCCCCAATATCGGAAATCAAAGATGGCAAAGATTCCCCATCAGAAGGCGATTCGTTCTTTGCGCAAGCCGTTCAATATAAACAGAGAATCTTCGTTGAACAAGAGCAAACAACAAAAGAGACAACAGTTAAAGAGAAAGCAAAGAAGAAACAAAAGGAAGATATATCTGGAATGGACAAAACTATTTTCAAAAAGACCGCCACGTTTCCTACAATGAAAATGGGAGGCAAAAAACCGATTGCCAAAGCTACTAAAACTGTACATAGAAAAAAGGATCTCGGTATATTTGATGATAATTTCGACGAATATGATGATCTTGGAGAATATGATGACTATCTCGATGGACTTAATGGGAAAAATATCAAAACAACAACTCCAAAACCTAAACCATCACAGAATTCAAATTTTGAAATGTTGAATGATAAAGGACCCGTTTCTCATAAACAGCGACATAAAGGCAGCAAACACTCTGTCAAAGTAGATTGTGAACCCACAAAGGTTAGAAAATTGTCAAAAATGCTCGGCCCTGCTTTTAATCCCCGATACATGTCAATCGAGAGGCCCACAGCTGGATTTTCCGGTTCTGCAATGACAGGGGTAAGCGGATTAGGAAAGGCACGTGATACAAGAGGATTTATGAGAGATCAACCGTTGATTATAAAGAACATTTCGGAAGCCACACCACATCTGCCATTTAGAGTCTCTCATGATTTCAAAAGAGATCTTCCGAATGAGGGTAAATATACCACTGACACGAACAATGCCAAACCCAAAAATAGTGATATACCAAGTGTTTCGCACTTTCTAGAAAGTATAAGGACTAAACGATCGACGAACAACGATCAACCATGGCAATGCGCTTCTAGAATTGTCTGGTTCGACTTAGGTGACGATCATTTTCCACGATTTCTGAGAGCAGCCGAGTGTGTCTCTGACAGGTGTTGGTTTTCTCATTACAAGTGTGTCCCAAGAGCTTTTACCGTCAAGGTACTTCGGAGATCGAGTGACACGTGCAAACCAGTCTCTCGCAAGGCATCAAACGGGCCCCAACGGTTCGAGCAGGAATGGGTGTTCGAGGAGAGAGCTGTGACTTTTTGTTGTGATTGTGCTAAGAGTTAGATGGATTGGTATTTCTTAAGTTTGAATTAACATATCTAAATAAATATTGCTAATAAAATTACTTGTTCATTAAGTTACTTTCTGTCAGTAATTGTGAGAATAGATCCAAAATGAAGTCCAGTTAAGTCCTAGCCCGGGAGCCCTCGTCACATTTGCTCTACGGCAGCCGTACGATGACCGTAGCTTTAAGAATTAATATAGAAAATCGGCGTCGTACTGCTTATCCCTATATCTTATGCTCTGTATATTTCTCTCGATTTTGGAAAGCTACCGCCGCTCTACAGTTGCAGTAGATTTAATGTGACTGTGGGATTACATACATAAGAATTATGTACAAGGGGTTATGGGGATTATATCCAAAACCGACAGTACATAATCAGAAAATGTATCCCATAGCGATTGAGGTTCTAGGTACATAATAAAGATAACTTCTAAGGTTCCAAAAATGATTATTTTGATATTAATTTCAAAACTTCAAATGTGTTTTTTCCAAAAAATACGCCTTGGATTGTCGTATGGACTTGGGGCCAACACGATCCTCGGAGACCCAGAGGGTGCATGAATGCATCTACATGAGGTAGTGAAGGTAACGAACGAAATCAATTTTGAGAATGACCGGGTTTGTAGTAGGCCTAGTCTAGTATGACATCTTTAATACATAGAACACTAATTGTCACCTTTCTACCATGGCCCGGGATTCGCAAAAGTCCGCTATTGGGAAATGATATTTTTGTAAAAATACTATAAAATTCTCACAATATATTTTTGAACTCAGATGTTTTATTGTTTCAAAAAACATATTATAGCATACTCTGCAATGGCCGTTAGGCCCTATAATTTTTCCAAGTAACAATAACGCTTGGTGACCTATGTGCAACAATTAGCCAACAAATCTTGCTTATTCAATAATCTGATTTTTAATTGGGGCCAGATTAATAAACCTATTCTAGAGCAACAAGCTAGATATGTCAGATAAGAAAGAAGGCCCCGAGACTAGGTTTAACTTTTTGTTGAACTAGGTGACCTAATGTCTCAGTCACATTTGATCTACGGCAAGCGTACGGCGGCCGTAGCTTCCCAAAAATCGAAAGAAATCCCATCTTGATTCACAAGGGCTCACAAGGTTCTGTTTGAAGATGGAGAAATCCTATTCAGCATAATCCTATTCAATATATTTATGAATAAAGCAGTAGGTTTTCTCATGGGCTTTCAAGCCGCTGTACGGTCACCGTCAAGCCGCGTGACCGAGGCCATGCTATTGAAAACGGCACTAGGAAGGGGAACATACTCTAAAATGCACAATTTTTTTTAAACTTTCTGATGTCACCATTATTATGCGATGGAGACGTGATGATATTAAGGACGCCAACTTTGTGTCGGGTAAAAAACTGTCCGCTATTGTCGAGGGATAAGGTCAAACATGAAATACAAAAAATAAAAGAATCCATAACGTGTAACTTTAACAGCAAACTGCCAGCCCCGGCACCCAGCCAATTTCAAGGTATGTGTTAAGGTCATGGAATGTCATGCTAAGTTAAATGTCAATGCCTTCAGGCTAAGAGCCTCTCGAAGACCAAAGATATAAAAAATGTACATCGAGTCTCCATGTCAGCATACCATACAATGAAATGTGGCCAATTGTAATTTAAAATATTTTTCATCCCAGGAACTATCAAAAATGGCATATTGTAAGGTCATTTCTCAGAAGATACGACTGATGGCATTATTCCCTTTCCCGGTTCCCATGGAAATAATCATGAAAATAAAAATCGTATTCACTGTGCACGACTGTGTAACTGGTAGGGAAAGAGTTTTATCCTCGATTCTAACATGATTGTATTCACGTCTTCTATAAACTGTGAACAAAGTCAACATTTTACCCGGGGTGTATTCGCGGACAATACCCCTGGTGATATGAGTAATGTGTGGCGTCTAACAGCGGGCCGTAGTACAGTCTCCGAGCCTTTCGTCCAGTGCCATCCGTACCTCCTGTGCCTTACCTCATGCAGATCTTTAAATTCCCGCGAAATTTACCCTTCTAAATATTTTGACCTGCTTCAAAAAATATATTTGTTTGCGTTTGCTACTGATTTTATTTGTTATATTTTATAAAATGTTTATTTCTAATGTAGTAAGAATTCATTCATAAGAAAAATATTAAGTAATTCGTAACAAACTGTTAAAAATGAATACTTAGGAATTTGCAAGGTCAGAAATTGTTTATTACAACGTTGCTATGCAGTTCGTTTTGAAGTGACGTCATCCCCATATTCGTAATTTTAATCGTCTAATAAACAAATATCACATGTCGATGTGATGTTTTAATCGATAAAATTGAATTTCTTACATATTTCTTTATCTTGTTGTTAGATAACACGTTATAATATTGGTGAACTCGCCAGAAATTAACATAATATTATTTGAAGCGTTTTTGGAAAATTATGACACCGCCATCTTGAAATCGTGTAGTAATGTTGAACCCAGTGATTATCGATCTTGACATTTTACAATTTGTTGCTCCGCGGAGATTTTTACCTAAAAACACATCAAATACAACATTGATTACCAATTTCAATGGTAAAATCATTTGTAAACGTTATGTTTAATGGAATGTTAAAGTTTTGGCGTTGTTGATTTCGTAATAAAGAAAGTACTAATTTCTGAAGCTTTCTAAGATCGTGCCCCGGGAATTTTAGAACTATTTTAACAACGTCAGAGAGGTAGTGAAGGTACGCAACGAACGAAATGAATTTTGAGAATGGCCGTAGTAATGGCGCACCATAATGAATATTCGAAACATTTTGGTGAGTTTTCATGTTCGAATCGTGAATATAAACCTCAGAGCATTGGTAATGTTGTCGAATACACTCCTTAGGGCTACGAATCCCTCACTCCCTTCGGTCGTTCGGGTTACAGAAAACATTTGTACCTAGCCCAATTCGACGATATTACCCCTGCTATTCGGTCTATATTTCTTAATTATATCTAGTATCCCGGTCCCGCTCCGTAAAAAAGGACCGGGGTGGATCTGGGAACCAACAAGGGGGGGCCCAAACTTTTGGTCTGAGAAAAAAACCTAAAACCAAAAAGTGGGCCCAAATTTTGAAATTTTGAGGCCCATTTTCTTGAAAATTTGGCCTCAAATTAAAAAATAAGGCCTTAGAAGGCCCATTTATGACCAAAAAGGCACTCTTTTTGGGGTCTTAAGGCCTTTTTTGGCTCAAATATTATTTAGTGCCCAATTTTTATGGTTCCATCCAAGCCCCCCCCCCCCCCAGATCCGCCAGTGACAATCCAACGCATTAGAGGCGGTGTTCACCGTCTGTACCTCATGGGGAAGGTAGTAGCTCTTAGGTAAGGAGGCACGGATTGCACTGAACGAAGGCTAGGAGATTGCAACCCGGTGTTTTGAAGTACAATTTTCCACTGAACGAAAATATTACAGGTTACACTTCCGGCCAGAATTCACATTTTCACGTTTTTTTGTTTTTATCAATATTGCAGGAGTTGCTTCATCTCTATTTGGGTGATAAGGTAAATATAGACTTACATCATACTTTGCACTATTATCTCACCGATTACAGATCACTAGGTTCTTCGGAAAATACTCAATTCATTAGAAAAAATTCCCCAAAATTCTTCTGGTCAACAAATTCAATCAAAACCTTGAAATACAATAGATCTACACATTTTTTTTCTGATTACTTTGGTCGTGAAAATTAAAGAAATGATATGATACTCACTATGTATCTAGTATGTTGTCTGTGATGGTAATGGTAGTCGCATTGATGCGCCTCTGGGGGTTTATATATATATTTGAGATTTGTCACGACCCCATTCTAAGAAATTCTTGCACCACTTCATTGCGATATAACCAAACTCGTCTGGCCCAGTTATCTACTCCCCGATTCTGAAAAGTCGTAGATCTACGACGTCAAGAAATCATTGTATTGATTTCTCGAAGCTATCTTCAATCTTTGCAAATTATTCACGGAACAAACCATGACAATGTGAGAAATTACCTGGGTTATTGACTTTTCAATCGAATCAGCGCAATTACACCATGTTCAACAACAAAAGTGTGGTAAGTGTGGTAAACAATTCAACATATAAGATTCTGTATATTGGGACAAACATATTGTTAACCTAAGTGGGAATGTAAAAAATTCAACTCCAAAGTAGCGCTTGGTTCAAAATTCAAATTTTTTCTCAAGTTCATGAATTTCTAATATGGGACAATCCCTGCCCCCTACTGTCACTTTTAAAACTCCGATAGTCAAAGTCATTATGGGCGGGGGAAACATGCCTATTGTAATGGTAATGTGATATAATTCATGTGTGCGAAATATTTAAATGATCTGATTGGTTTTACTTATTGTGACGCATGCGCATGTGTGCCATGTTTTTTCTAATCATTTCATTTTGTTCCATGGAACTCGAATACTTGTAGATGGAATTTATTCATATTTTGTGGAAAGATTTATATTCAATATTGGTGAATAGTTTTACGCCAAATTTCCTTTCAAGATGGCTGTCACTTAAAAAATGGTTCATATTATCAATTTATTTCTAATATAAAATGGTGAGAATATTTTGTGAAAAGTTTTTCATTTTAATCGAAAGTAGCCTAATAAATATTATTGTTCTAAATTTTGGTAGTATATTCATAACATCCATCTTTTTTTCAGGAGAGTCTAATATTATATCTCAAATGTATGTCTTTTGATATCTGCCAATTATGTATTCAAGGGAAGAGTAGATAATAAATTTTACATTTGATTGTGATCAGGCCCGTAGCCAGGGGGGGTTCGGGGGGTTTGGGCGAACCCCCCCTGGCCAAAATTTCTTTCAAAATCATGCAGTTTTTCACCATTCTGACTATTTTTTGAGTGATGTTTGGCCAAATTTGCCAAAGTGAACCCCTCCCTAGAATTTTTTGGAAAAGTGGAAAATTCTGGCTACGGGCGAGGTGATATATACAGATTCATGGAAATAGTGTTCGCTGAGATTTGCAACTCCATGGGATTGTCGATTTCTAGTTTTTTCTCAATCAAAGTAGTCAGAAAAATATTTTCTGATTGTAAGCAAGGATCCTGGTGTTCCATTTCTTTTCTTTAAGTCTTATATATTTATTAAATAGACTAAGAAATCAATGATACTGTAAACAAAATTTTAACCGTGAATAAATATATGTATAAAAAAGGATCCTGGTGTATATAACCAGTTCATAGTAGAACACCACTCTATCCATGGCTTTAGGCTATTCTACTGTGGTCACTGACCCCCTCCCTCATTTCTCAATATTTTAAAAGTGTAAGATATAATTAATGTTAGTATATAGCACTAGGTAGAAAGAGGGAATTATTCCAAGGGCTTTTAAAAGTAAGCTTGAAAGTTATAATTTTTTTTCATCTTTTCAGATGACACGTTGGGCCAGGGCTGAGGGGGTGAACAAGAAGAAGCCCTTAGAAAGCACAGAATGGTTAGTCATGTTTAAGTCAACCTCCCAAGAACAGAAGTCTCCAACAGATGATACAATATCACAACAAACCCCAGCCAAATCTAAAAAGAAACGGAAGGCTGAGAAACAACATAATAAAGATAGTGACATGTCCGACCAAAGTACAGGTGTATATAAAGTAGACATAGGAGAATCATTGGTTAAGAAAACCAAGCAATCAAAAGTTAAGACCCTAACTGATGAACAATACTTTGCTAAATTCACTAATCATCGTGAACAGAAGAAGAAAATGCGGACAATTGACCTGAATGACAAGCGTAGAGAAGAAAGGAGGATGAAAAGAAAGGAAGAACGAGAAGGAAAAAAGGTAGAAATTCTAACTTATAAGTGAGCATACAGTAATGTTAATATCATATGTTACAGTTAATATTTTGAAAATTCCTCTTCGATTTACCACTCAAAATTAATGCATTTATAAAAGCTCAACTTTTTCCAACACTCACTATAAACTCACTTAGTAATTGTTGAGAAACCTGAACCCATTATATCTCATTTTCCATTATCTGAGGCTTTAGGCCCATAGGCTGCTCTATTGTGGTTACATAATGGATGATGGGGTTCTCAAAGGGTAAACATTTTGGCAAATTATTGAATTGAATTACTCCAGGTGTGCTTTAACTGTCGGAAGCTGGGTCACAATCTTGCAGACTGTCCAGATATAAAGGGGGATTCAGAACAGGGCACTGGTATCTGCTTCAAATGTGGCTCCACAGAACATACATCTAGCCAGTGTAATGTGAGGCTCAAGAAAGGTGAGATATTGTGATATAGCTCTTCCACTTGATATACTATAGTTTCTAAGGGTTTTATAAGTTCAAATCCTGCCATTCGTGCTTTCTAAGATAAAACTAATTTGCTACATGTGTTGATTGTATGTTATATTCTTATTGCAGGAGAGTATCCATTTGCTAAATGTTTTGTGTGTGGAAAGATGGGCCATTTGTCCAAGAAGTGTCCAGATAACCCAAAGGGACTCTACCCCAACGGTATGTGAAAATCCATTCTCCAAAGGCATCGCTCTTTTGATTCATCTCTGCAAATGGCAAAATTAGTTTAAATATTTTAGTGACATATTTTACTGAAGTTATGATTGAATATTATAAGGGAATATACATTTTATGGTCCCATAAAGATTTATGAATTTTATTTTATGTTCACATTTAAGCAAGTCATGTCCCAATTTCTATAGGCTATGTTTATGCAGACTGTCAAAGTTAATTCTATAATGTGCACTTTTCTATTGTGAATTCCCCCAAAAAATAAAAAATGTACATTTGGCACTGCAGGAGATTATTGCTTATTCAGCCATATGTTTCTTGTAATGTTACAGGTGGGTGTTGCAAGGGATGTGGATCAATACACCACTTTAAAGCAGAGTGCCCAGTGCTACTGAAGAAAGAAGGTAAGCTTGTTGTTTGTCCTTCTGTCTGGGCAATAGCCCAAGTTCCTGGATGGAAGGTGCACAAATGACCACATGTTTTTCAGAAGAAATTTTCTTTAGTATAACGCAAGAATTTGGTGCAAATTTTATAGGCTAATGCCTTGTGGGCATACTTTTCGATAAGGAATTTAAAATATGGCGTTGTCATGGTTGTAGATTTTGACAGGAGACTATACATTGTTTACTACTCCCTACATATCATATCACCACCAGAAGTGGGGACATATTATAGTCTCCAACTTTTTTGTGGATGGTTCTGGTGTTTCATGGTTGGCTTCAGTAACAAATGAAAAACTTACAAGGTGATGACATTTTGTCGTGTTAATAGACTATAATGCCTCATTTCTATAATGTCATGTTCAGATAACATGTTTTTCAGTGGGATGTGCTATTCTTGGGAGTAGCTGTTCAAATAACTGATCAGCTATTGAAGTACATACCATTGAGAGTAACACTAATACCATTGAGAGTAACACTAATACCATTGAGAGTAACACAAATACCATTGAGAGTAACACTAATACCATTGAGAATAACACTAATACCATTGAGAGTAACACAAATACCATTAAGAGTAACACAAGTACCACTGAGAATAACACTAATACCATTGAGAGTAACACAAATACCATTGAGAGTAACACTAATACCATTGAGAGTAACACAAATACCATTGAGAGTAACACTAATACCATTGAGAATAACACTAATACCATTGAGAGTAACACAAATACCATTAAGAGTAACACAAGTACCACTGAGAATAACACTAATACCATTGAGAGTAACACAAATACCACCGAGAATAACACAAATACCATTGAGAGTAACACAAATACCACTGAGAAAAGCACAAATACCATTGAGAGTAACACAAATACCATTGCGAGTAACTCAAAAACCACTGAGAATGCAGTAACACAAATACCATGGGAATTGTTCTGATTTCAGGAATAATTGAAACTACAGTTGAGAAGATGGCAGTTTTCACAAGCCCGGACATTGAACCTTCACTTACAATAACCAGCAAACAAAAGAAGAAATCTGGACCCAAACTAGTGAAATTTTGAAAAAAAAATTATGAATTAATATTGTATGTGATGAATATGGACTGAGCAAAAAATGCATTTTCTGTTTGAATTTATTTGTAGAATTCAGCATTCCTAATAAAGTTACTTTAAGAGAGATTGAATATTGTTAGGTATCTACAAAATTAGCTTTTATCTTCTGTTAATTAGCTTTTCTTTCATCATTTATCTTAATCCCAGGGCCCACCAATTATATTTTCAAACAGTACTATTATGTTTGAATGTTTTGATTGGCTACTAGTTGTTATCCTTGATTACATGGAACATCTGACAAAGATAGGTGGCTTTTGATCTTTTTTATTGTTATAATGGTTTAAAAGGATACTACTCGTAAGAAGATGGATGGAGAGCTAGATGAGTCAAAGTTTGGGAACTGAAGATGTTTTAAAGTGTGCAGTAACTAAAGAAAAAGGAGTTCTATAATTAGTACTATGTTTTTGAATAGAATTGCTATTTTTAGAATCGTCAATATTGAGTACTCATCTCATCAATTTCATAATTTCAAGTTTGCAGTTGAGTGAAAAACTATATAGTCTAAAGTATTATAATGAATAGCCAAGTGGGTGTTTATGCAGGTCACAATGTGGTCACAATTCTCTGTATTGTATTTTGCAAAAGCTTTTATAATGTGTTAAAAGAACGACTCATTGAATTGTGGGTGATTTCAGCTATCGTCTCAAGTCTCAGAACAAAACCCTCATGCTTAAAATCATCCACAATCCATCGAGGCTAAATCCTTTTAAATATAAAATTTTGAAATTTTCTCAACACCACAATGCTACCTTAGTTTTCAAACCGCGACATGAAATTCAAGATATATGATTCTTTAGAAAAACAAACAAAAAATGTATAATGGGGTACCCAATTTTGGCAATTCATTCTCAAAACATTCTCTTTAGAAAAAGTTTACCCTTCAAGTACCCAAGCATTTTCTTTCATGTTTAGAAAATACATGAGAGAAAAGAATCCTTGGAGAAAACCATCATACATTTTCTGTCAAGTATTTTTCGACTATAAAGAAATAGAGCTGATGTTGGAAAAGCGACAGCAACGATTTAGAGAACAATTAGCCGAAGAAGTAATTTTGTGTGATTCATTGAAGAATCTGATTTGTTCGTAATCTGGACATTTTACATTTAGGTTTGCATACTGATATTATGCAAATCTATTTAAAATTCATATTGGGTTGTTTTAGTTTATATCACAACCCAAAAAGGTGTGAATTAAAGATTAACTTTCCTGTTATCTCAAAATCTGCTTGGAACTATACCATTAGATTTCTAGGGGAAATTCCTCAGAGTGAATTTTAGGGATAAAGGAGTGGGTACCATTAATACAATCTGAGAAAATATTGGCAAATATGAAACCTATTTAAAACTGCATATATATTATTCAAAAGCGGATATGATCAATGATTCCCAATCCTCTGAAGTTTGAAAAATGAAAATACCTGGGTGATAATCCATAGATAATCCTTGAAAATGAGAATTTTTGGGGGATTTTATGGTGCAGTCTTATAGTCAATAAAGCGTTATAAAGTGTATTGATGTTTTTGGGATGAAAAACATTAGGGAAATGCTTGAAAAAACTACACCGATTCATTCTACAAACAACCCTCCCTTCTTTCTCTGCCTTATGCTGTCTCCATGTTCATAATTATGTTAAATTATCCCAGAAATATTTCTGTTCACTTACCCTACTATCACACCAAACTAGTTCTCACTACGTTCTCGAAAACGGGCTTCAACTGTGTACGAACGGACTGGACCTACTAAGAACCGTTTGGGATCTATTTACAAACGTCATTGAACGTACTCGAACGGGTAGGTGCTCTAGAACTTAGACAATGCTCAAAATGTTCTCGTGGTCGTCACGTTCTACAATTAGAACGAGTGACAACGTACTAACGACGAGCTGGACGTACTACGAACGGAACCGTCGTACTTCAATCCTACTAGGGACGTTTTAACAACGAGTTGAACTGTCTGAGGACGTGTTGAGAACGAGGTAGAACTAATTGCAAACGGGTTTAAACTGATTAAGAACGTATTTAACACTGCTTATGAACGAGTTAGCAAAAATATAGCTATCACACCAAACAAGTTGCCACTGCGTTCTTCAAAACTGGTTTTAAACTGTATGCATACGGAATGAACGTAGCTGCAACTTTCTAAGGTCTATTTACGAACTTTATGAACGTTCTCAGACGGGAATGTGATTTTAGAATTTTGAATCGATTCAAAATTCGATGGCGACCATACCGTTCTGTAATCAGGTCATGATGACCTTCTAGACTAAGGGACGCGTTCTACGACGTTGCACACCGACGTGGTGCGACCTGAACGAACTGCGAACGAGATGGACGTATTGAAGACTGTTTAAGAACGAAAAAGCTAATTATTTCAGACATATTTCCCGACCACAGCCAGATTGAGCCCGTTTTACGACGTTTTCGTAGGACTGGCAAGAACGGGTAAGAACTAGTTAGGTGTGATAGGGGGGTTAATACAGAACAAAATACATTAATAAAGATGTTATTAATGGCACAGACACCATTTATTGACTAAATGTAGAAATATCAATAGTACAGAATACTTGTTAGATTATATAATGTTATAAGAGTTTGACAAAAGAATATAAAACAAGATGAAGAAACATTCCAATTTAACGATTACAAAGTACTGTACTCGCACAACAAATTACTGCAAACATTTCATATATTTACAACTTCCATGAGGTCCATGAGTACATGATACGCTACTACAATCATCTACTAAATGAGAATTTTTAATTATATATTTTAGTGCAAAACATGAGATTACCCCTTAGTGTCAAGCACAGTTTACAACCAAATATTGTGTTTAAAGCAATTCTTTCAATATGCACAAGCGATATATTGTGGCTTTGGAAAAATGCATTAACAGCCACATCTACATAACTGCATGAGCCTTGAACCTTTGCAAAAATATCAAAATGGAAGATTTCCTCGCAAAATACTATTGACACATATGTTCAGATTGTCCACATACAGCTTAATACTGTCAAAAAGTTTAGTATTGAAAAAATCACTATTGAAAAAATATTTCTTTTATCAATTTGCACAACAATCTGGAATGCTATATTATATTAAACCTAAGCATTCAATAATGAGATATATTTTTCTTATAGTATATCTAATTCACAATGGCACTTGACATAATATAGAGAGTATAATCATATATTCCAGGGTGATATAAAAGCTAGCAATCTGATTGACACTGTGAAATACTGTCTTTCATTGGTTCAATATTTTCTTCATATCACCAGCATAGCATGTGATTTTAGACTCATATCTTTGACCATGAGTATATTATGGGATCATCTTTTTAGAAAATGAAAAAGGTGTCAAAGTGGGGTTCTAATCCAAGATTCTTTGAATAGTTTGATCCCAGGAGTTTGATTTATAACTTTATTATCTTGGGACTTAACTCAAAAAACTCATGGTCAAAATGAAACTGTCTAAAATCACTTGCTATAACATACCTGATTTTTATCTAAACATAAATTTTATGTACATAACAGATTCAAAATCTTATCATTGATACAATTGGCTCTAGAAAGCCTATGTTAATATATGTGTCACAATAGTGATTAGTGTTGTATTAGATTAGTGTTGTTGCAATGTGCCATAATCATACATCGATGCATCGGCAATTTTTAGTAGTAAAAATCGATACACATCGCGATGTACATCGAGAGAAAGTCCGTGAAAAGTGCACAGAAATACCAAAAAAAACACAAATAACTTATAGTACGCTGGTACATCCGAATTGTTCATCCATGAAAAAGGTAAACCATTTGCGTCAAAATAAGATAAGAAAGGTTGATTCTTGAAACATCGATGTTTTGATTCAGACATCGATGCATCGCCTGAATCCCCTTTGGCGATGTATATCGCGATGTATCATTTAATCGCGACAACACTAATAAAGATATGAAAGTGATTCCATCTAGAAGTTGAAAACTAGTCAATTCAGAATTTGTGAAATATGTATGCATAAATTACAGCATAAGATTTTAATTCTGAAAATCTGCATCATAAGTTGAATAAGTCATCTCATATTTACATTAATCATCATATACATAATTTCAGAAAAATCATTACGTTAAAATATCTGTTCGCTAAAAATCCAAAATATCATACATATTACAATATTATCATTCTTTTAGAGGAAGTTCCTGTTATCTTTCTCAACCACAAGAAACACTCCCTAACAGCAGGACAAATATGGCAGTCATATTTGTGTGATAATATACAAACATTTTTTCTATTGATCGAAATACCTGTGTAGATTTCACAAGTAATTTTCCCCCATGCTTTGAGAGCAAGAGGAATATTAATTTTGAAAGTGTCACAGGTATTTTCCGAAAATAGAACAAAATACTTCTTACTTATTCACTGTTACGTTTCTCATTCTGTAAAAAGGGAGAAGGGATGTGAAAACGAGATGAAGGAAATATTCGCTCTTCAGAACGAGCTACATACTTTAAAGGGCCTCGTATTTTTTTTCCGTGGGTGGGATATTAACAACAGAGTAGAGGAAATATATTCGCTCTTCACTACCAATGAAAAGTAAGCACCTATGATATCAAGTGATATCTAATGCCATGTGATGCAAGTTCAACCAATCACAGGATGAGAAACATAACACCGGGATGATAATACAAAATATTCTTATATGAAAAACTACCTTGGAAGGAACTATCTCGGAAGGAACTTTCTTGGAAGGAACAATGTGGATAAATTCAGTTATCACTGAATTTAAGATAATTCTTACAAAAATACTTTCCCGTGGGAACAGATGACCTCAGCCAATAAATGAAATATATAACCTCAACAGTATTTAAAATAACAAGGCATTAAAATGCAAAATGTCACCACTTGCCATCTGTTACAAATGCCGACATTTGACCCACCGCCAAACACCATTTACCAGATGCCCTCAACAAAAAAGCTGGGAGACTATAGCTATCTCACCACTACAACTGGTGGTGACATAATATCACTGAAAACCATTTTTATAGCACATTGATAAATACAAATAACTGCACTCAAGGAGTTAAAAAATCCAAACACTGATGATAAAGAAAATACAAAAATACAAACACTGATGATAAAGAAAATCCAAACAAATCTCAAAATAATTTCTAGTATTATGCTCTATCAGATTCTGAATATATAATATTTCTATGAAAATAATAACAGAAATATAGCTTGAATAAGTGTACAAACTTTGATGTAAACATATGCCTAGTCCACCTTAACAGTTTTATTTGATCCCTGTGTACTACTAATTGGAGAAAAGATCACCAGTGATTTGCGATGTTTTGACAAAAATCCAATGTTGTGCCTTGGGGTACATATACTTCAAAAGTTCTCCGAAAGACTACTCAGTGTAAACCAGGCTTAACTGACAATAAATGACTTATATGACTTTTATCGTCTAGAAGTCAAGAAGTAATTTATTTTTATTTTTATTCGATTGAAGGGATGTATAATGTTATATCTTGTAATGAAATAAATTTATCTTAATAAATAAAAAAAAAAAAAGTAATTTATTATACAAAAATAAAACCTGTTATATTTTCTTGAATATAAATTGATTACCCTTGTTAATCTATCATGACAATATTGGGTCCTGCACAGTCAAAAAGTTGATCAGATTCTGGCATGTAACTACCTTTCATATACATATAATAATAATCATACTGCAGCAACTGACAAATGTAATTTATTGAAGACATTAATAAAATTGCAATTATCACAAATTAGAAATTAACAGCAATCCAGTATGCCAGCCCTAAAAATGATTGCTAATTACCATTTACGATGAAGTCTTTAATAATTTTATATGATACAAGTGCCTGCATTGGTGGACATACATATGTACAGGGTGTCAAATAAATATGTTCTCCCCTCCTTAGGTTTAACATCTAAAGGGTGTCCCGAAAGTATGGGCCCCCCCCCCTAGGCAGACATATTCCAGTGTCCTCATAGTATGTGTCATATATCATTTTAAAGCTTATCCAAAGTTACATTGATTTGCCAAGTATCATGGTTTAACTCCCAAATGGGAAAAAGTTACAGCCATTTTAAAAGTTAGTGTTTTGTCAAAATAAAGTTCAATTTTACACCACATTACTAGTCAATGTGTCCCCCTTTGGCCATGTTAACATAAGTAATTATTTTCAAATATGACCCTAAAAGCCCTTCAAAAAGGGGTTTGGAATTTTATAACCCTCTTAAAACCTGTTCAGGGACTTTAGAAGAGTTTCCTTAGAGTTTCTACCCTCACCGTTCTCTTTTTCCAACTCAATATCTCTCCGACCCTAAAAAAATTGCTGCTGTAAAGTTGGCCCGAGAGGACACATTGACTAGTGATTTGATGTAAAATTGAACTTAATTTTGACCAAACACTAAATTTTTAAATGCCTGTAATTTTTTAATATTTGAGAAATGAACCATGATACTTGGCGAATCAATGTAACTTTGGATAAGCTTTAAAATGATATATGACACATACTATCACGACACTGGTATATGTCCACCTAGGGGGGCCCCATACTTTCGGGACACCCTGTACATAATGTTGCATAACATTTTTGTCTACATGATATCTGACATCCGAAGCAGATCAAAACTATGCTTCATGGAGCAACTCCACAAGAAGTTTAGATGACTATATAGCTCAACTAGATGCACTTTAATGCACAAAAGTTCATTCTCTTGAAATTTAGGGGTAGAACATATTTATTTGACACCCTGTATATCAAAATATGCCTAGCTATTTGATCAATATAGTTAATCAACATATAAACTCATATTACTAACATTAACAATTTCACACTCATGCAAGTTATTACAAAAATCAATTATTTCAGTTGAATGAGGAAGGAATATGTTACAACTTCCCTTTCGTCTTTCCCCCAAAGTCCCTTTTGCTAAACTGTCTAACTTCTTGAACACTGAAATTTTATATTATCAATCAGTCAATCAATCCAATGTCTGAATGTTCAATGTTGAATTTTATAAATCTCATTTCAGAGAATGTTTTCATTTTCTCAAATCCTGTGAGAAAATCATCATAATTATTATATTTAACCGGGCACTAAAATGATTGTTTGATTTTATATGTCAGAGGTATCACGTTAGTACAGAAAATAATCCACAATCATATTAATTATATGTCGGATGCTACTATTGGATTTCGCAGTTGAAGTTCTGTGTCTTGTGACATGATTGGTAAGTTATTGTCCATGTGGTAGCACACTAAGTGGCTCACACTGTCAAATGTACGGTCCTTGGTACGCACCTAGAAAATAAATGACAAAATATTCATAATTCATAGACTAAAGACTAAGTGGCATTTTATTGGACATGATTGATGTTTATACAATGATGTCATTATAAAAAATAATTGACGCCATTTACCTTTTAGAAATGTTTGTTCTGTTGAAAGATGAACATCATATCCAAAAGAGTAAGAAAAGAGTTCAAACTGTATAATATTATTGTGAATTGGTTTTGATTCTACTTTGATGAGGGCTGATCCAAAAGTTTTGCACTGTTTGTTCTAATTTTCTTAGCATTTGTTAAATATAATTTTGCCTCAACCACCCCATGTATAGTATAACATTGCATCAAATATCATAAATATAGAGTCAAAAAAGCCTCTTTGAGTCAGCAGCCTTAAGAATAACTATAATCAAAAATCGTATTCAGGGATAAGAAAAATAATTATCTTACCACTCCTTGAGGATCAACCAATAGAAGGTGCTTTGTCTTGTTGTTCTTGCGCCCGCTGAGTACATACTGTCCAGGAGAGTTGGAGCTCTCACGTACCAGGAAATCGCCTTCATGGTGCAGGAGCTCTTCAGTCTGAAGGAAAGAAAGCAGAGGCCATGATAGAGCAGAATAAATACTTTGATCATAAGTAATATGATAAGAAATTCCAACAAATGAAACCTTTTACCAAATCACTTATTTTTTGAAAAGCAAAATCTACATCCATGGCCTAAGTCACATGACCTGGTACCACATTAGAAATTCTTAGTAACAAAATAAGATGGGGAAAATTCAACCCCTAAAAGTAGGGTAAGTCAGTCAATAGCACTTGCGCTAATGTTAATCATTTAAAATAAATCATCCTTAAAATAAATGTTGTTACTATATAATTTGTGTATTACATTCTATTTATGGTTTTTACCCTTACACTGTAGCATTTGATTTCATATTCAACACTGTATTAACACGGCACTAACATGACAAAATGTCACCACCTAGTTACTCACAATATAAGTCAGATTTGAACTTCTGAGAACTTGTAGCTGATCTTGAAAAGAATAAGTACCGTTTTTTATTTACCTTGGGATCATTGGAGGTCATTTCTCGAATCTAAAGTCAGACATGAACTTCTGAGAACTTGGTCAATTTCAATTTATGTCACTACTTGTTGTAGTGACATAATAAACCAAAACCACCCCTGTTTACCTGTTTTCGTGTTAGTTTACCATGGAACCATTCTTCATGGTATGGTGTGTTGTCCTTCTTTGCTTGTTTGGGTACAGTGCCAATACTACTGCCACTTGCTGCCTCTACTGCGCCACCTGTGGGCAGGTTACTGCTAAATGGTTCTATAAAACATACACAGCAATTCATTATAATCTGGGTGAAAATATTGCTAGGCTATTTTGCCATAAATGATTCTAAGGTACCCCAACATTTTTAACAATATACTATTGGACCAGCAATTGTCTATGACACAAACTTTCTGTAGAGATCTTGCTTCAAAAAACTCCTAAGAAAGCAAATTTTAACAATGATTTAAGTCATATATCATGACTATATCATTGATTTGAATGATATTCTTTATGATAAACTACTTATTATTTGATTAACAATTACCCATATCAAATGGATCCAGCTGACCATTGGCCCCTCCTAACTTGTCTTTATTATCATACACTGGGTCATCAAATCTTGGATTAAAATCATTATCTTCTATTGAAGATGCTTTGGGGTTGTCATACATGGTAATGCCAACTGCTCCTGGATAAAGACACAAAATATAAGCCATAATCATCTCATAATCAAGTGCATGGTATGCTTTGCGGTTGAGCATGGTATGCTTTGCGGTTGAGTCAAGACTAGAGACACGTTGAGAATAATTTTCTCAAATATTGCCACAATTTCAGAACATTTTTATATCACAAAATTCTGTGTAATCTCTTTTTAAAAGGTCCAACAGTAAGCACAAATAAGTATGTTTTAGTAATTATTGTCAATAAACCAAACTGTGATTACTTCTGCTCTCATTTAGATATGTTGTCATTCTTACATTTTTAGAGCAGAACGAGGACTAGCTTAGAACTAATTTTCAAAAACTTCTTACAATTTTGTTTACTAACATTGCTGCCTGCAAAGAAAGACATTGCAAAACTAGTGAAAATATACCCTCGTTTCCTTGATTCACAAAAATGGTCAAGATATATTTATATTGGAAATGTCTATTTCAGCAATCAATTATAGGTTTGAAGTTATGAGGTTTTTGAGGCCTTTTTGGTCACCATGTGTGTAACATTGGCTATACTACAAAATCTTACCATTTGTATGTGTAGTTATTTCAGATTCAAAATCTTTGGTGCTGCCAATCTCACTGCCTAGATCAACTAGGATGCCCACACTGCCATCTTTATTGTCATATATAGGAGACTCCTTATGTTTCACAGATGAGTATATGCCATCACTTTTCTGCAATAGGAATGCATGTTTTAATTGCTAAATATAGTTTTCTATTTCAGTGAAAAAATGCATCATTTGGTGGGCTCACATGGTGATTCGCAATACCCATTTTTCAAGAAAGGTGAAATTGCAAAAGACTAGAAAGATTTATGCATGTCTTGTTTTGATTCTTTGTCATCAAAAAGGTACCAAAGTGCCATTTTGGTACCAATCTGATGTCAAAAAGTCACCCAGATTAGGGTAACAGTTTTCACCTAGTTGTAAGTTGTCACAATTGGATACATCATATTGAAGTATTCTGATGATTATCTATTTTTCTTGATGAGGGAGGAATAGTGGAACAGCAGACTAACCTGTAGATTACTGGTTGGTGCAGAATACTCTGGTAGTGGGGGGATAGATGGAACAGCCGATGCCTCTGGTGGCTGTGCCCCAGGTCTGTCATTGTAATAGTCAGGATCATCACCCCATTGTGAGCCCCACATAGATTGAGCTTCATTGCCAAATACTGGATTTTCAACTCTGTAAAATAAAACATGTTCCAGTGCTAGTTATTGATTGCTCATATTGCTCACAAGAAACCTAAAAAAAGGTGCAAATTCACCTTTTCTTGATCATTCTTTCTAAAATTCGGGCCCATAGCCTAGATATTATAGATTAATTGTGACAAATTCTTAGGCCTTTTTGTCTTCAGGCCCTTTTTTGTCAGAATTTTGGCATCACCATTGTTTAGGTCCCAGCTATGGTGGAGGAACATGGCTCACCCCACCTTATTAAAGGATAAAGGATGAATATTACACAGGGGTTTCATCAGCAGCAGGCAACAGGCAGTTTTCACCGGTTGTTTTCACAAAATCGCCTGTTTTTTAGGGACTTTTCAACTTTTCCATGTTAAATTCATAATTTCCATTAATTTTGCCTATTGTTTTCATTTATTTAGCCTGTTGTGAGAAATTCTAATGAAACCCCCATTACATACTTAACAACATACAACTTTGAAACTATTATGATTATTATTCATTGACATCTTACCTGTCAGGTAACTCTATTGGTTTGGCTTGATTTTTCAGAAATTCTTTAAATCTCAACTCGAAGGCCTGTCCTATAGTAGTTATAACATCTTGAGCAAGTCCCCCTCCACACTCTAAAACATGACAAGCACGCCCATGGATCGGATCTTTTGCTATGTACGCTACAAAGTCCATTGTGTCCTGTAAAAAGTAATAGGAAATTTAGAGCTATATCACAATAAACAAAATGTGAATACTTTTTCAGCTTTTTTATAGAAATTTAGAATCTTAGAATTTCAATTCCAAAAGTGTTAATATCCTTTTTTCAAATTTCCCTCTTCTAGATATATCATGACCTCAAAGAGTGTAATGTGAGACCTATTACGGGGGGGGGGGGGGGGGGGGGGGGGGGGGTGATGTTGATTTTTGGTTTCTTTTCATCAGGCTATGAAGATTTATATGTTCTGTTGATTCATTTTCCTTACACTCTGAATATATGTATTTCAAAACATGACCATTTTCACAGTTGGTTATATTCATGATTCTAACTTACCGGATCGCCGCCTGAAGCAAACGATATCCCTGGCATCACATGCTCAGCAATCAGCTGAAAGAAAAGAAACATTCACTCATGTTATCCAGGACAAGGAGACAGAATTTACAAATGTTCAATTTGTGTGCAAGCAGAGTAGTCTGTCATAATGGTTTCTAGACCAATATAATATGTCAATAGGGAGTTTAAGCTTGCATGTAAAATCGAAAAACCAATCTATACATTTCACCAATTGCCCATACAAATGCATCGCTTAAATATTTTCCATTCACACTTAGGTTGTGAAAAACATTGCAAGCTTAAACTCCCTAATATCTTGTCTTATTGTTGTTACTTACAGTTCAAATGTACTTTCTGAATGCTAAACAATTGCCCAGTTTGACACATATAGTACTATATATGAAAGTAACTGGCCATTGCATTAGTATTTGCCTTGGGAACTTTTGTCAACTTGGTTTAATTTTTACCAAATCTGTCTCAGAATGTCTTGGACATTCACTTTGTACAATAGAGATGTCATGGAACAAAAAAAATCGGAACGGTTCAGAACATTTTGTTTCGGAATGGAACAATTTCGGAACGGTTCAGAAGAGAGTGACTGTGTGTATTGGATTAAAATAAGTTGATCATCTCGGTCTATTTGGTAGTGAAAAGCTTTTCAAAGCTCTTCAAGGAAAAGGAGTGAAAAGAATGAATGCAAAATATTGAAAGAAAGCAGTGAAAGGGTAAGATTTTCTTTTTCGGGAACCGAACAGAAATACTTAATTTTTGTTCCATGTTCCAAAATTGGGTATTTGTGACACCTCTACTATGTAGTAACATATGACTGAACATGACAGTGTGTGTACAACCTTGGAATAAAGCGATTTGCTAGCTATAATATATGCCATTTTGTTATAAACTGATGTCAATATTGATGTTATCATCAGAAACATCAAATTGTAAATAAATCACTATGGTGAGAGACTATACAAGCAACACAATGCAAATTGGAGATGTACTTAAGGCTGCTAGGCAACAGTTAGACGAGTCCATAATTAAAGCAAGCTAGCTACTTATTTTGACAGTGTGACTAGAAATCATCTTCATGACTAGAAGTCAGATTAATATCAAACCAAGCATTCTGGGATCATGAGAGACTTAAATGAGAATTCTGGGATCTTACCTCTGCTGATTCCATAATCATGAGAGAAAGACTTTCTATGGTGATTGTCAGATTTATATTGAAGCCAGCATTCTGCATGATTGGCTGGTTACCAAGAAGCTTTGAAACCTTCTTATCCTGCAAGAACATAAATTGTACCAATGGTGTCAATTGTTACAATTATTCAAAACTAAGACAGTTAGTGACAGCCACAACCTAAACGTTAAAAATAGGAAGGCCAAAGAATTAGTGGAATCTGTCTATAGTTAGATAAACTGAAGTAATGTAATATGAGAAAGTGATTGTTTTAACTTAATAGGCTACAATACATGTCTATTTATCTTTTTGTCATAGGGAGCACCGTTAGCCTTGTGAAACCAGAAAAATGTTAAATGCTACAAGTTTGAAAAATAAAACTTTTTTTGGCTTGAAATAGTAATAGATATCCTCTTGGGTTCTTGTTTTCTGACTGATTAATAGATTTATAGAGTCACACTGAAATAGCCTGACAATGGTAAAGTCAGACACTGTTGTCACTTGGTCCTCATTTCATTTCATCATTTTCATTTTATCCTCGCTAATTCTGTGCAAGTATTAAGCTCTTGTGATGGTGTATCATATGAAATCCCAATTTTGATCAAATTGGTATCTGACTTTACCATTGTCAGGCTATTCCAGTGTGAGAGTGTTACATATGATTCCCACAATGTCAAGATTTAATCTGCATGAGTTACATCTTTTTAGAACTAGACCATGAGTACCTTTATTTCCCTCACATAGTATACTAGAAGATAGAAAATACTCCTGGGTCAGAAGTTTCAGGAACAATGGTTGTGATTTAAAGGTTCAACCCTCAATCAAGAATAAATTGTTAAGAACAATGTTCATCTAAATTTTTTTACCTTTTTCTTTTTAGTAGCTGTTTTAAGACCTGCGGCATCACACACTCTGCTTATGGATTCTCTGCAATTTAGGGAACGTGTATGCAATCAAAAAACATGTGAATGTAATAAAAAACATGTGCTGTCTTATTCAAGATGACATTCTTAAAGTACAATGAAAACTATTGAAGGTGTTAAGTAGTTATAATATACTAGTGTTGTCGCGATGTGCCATAATCTTACATCGATGCATCGGCAATTTTCAGTAGTAAACATCGATGCACATCGCGATGTACATCGAAAAAAAGTTCGAGAAAAGTGCACTGAAATACGGAACGCTAATGCACTAAAATACCAAACACCCGGTACATCCGGGAACATAGTAACGGTGAAATGAAAGTAAAGTAATTTTTTTAGATTAATGGATCATTTCGACTAGCTAAAACAGTTTTAAAGCGAAAGAATATCAGAAAACATTTGAAAATGAAACAAGACATGAAAAAAGGTAAGCAATTTGCGTCAAAATAAGATAAGAAAGGGCGATTTTTAGCAAATTAAATTTTTTTAACAAGGCATTAACATGACAAAATGTCACCACCTAAAACAATTTGGTCAATTTAAAGCAAGTTGGAAAATACCTTTTGACCTTAAGAAGAACTTCTGAGAACATGTAGATGATTTTGAAAAAAAAATTAGTCAATTTGAAGCAAGTTGAAAAAAGACCTTTTTGACCTTGAGAAGGTCATTGAAGGTCAAAGGTCAAATCTAAAGTCAGATTTGAACTTCTGAGAACTTGTAAAGTCAAATTTGAACTTCTGAAAAGATGTAGATGATTTTGAAAAAAAAATTTGGTCAATTTGAAGCAAGTTGAAAACAGACCTTTTTGACCTTTTTTGACCTTGAGAAGGTCATTAAAGGTCAAATGTCAAATCTAAAGTCAGATTTGAATTTCTGAGAACATGTAGATGATTTTGAAAAAAAAAATTAGTCAATTTGAAGCAAGTTGAAAAAAGACCTTTTTGACTTTTTTTTACCTTGAGAAGGTCAAATGTCAAATCTAAAGTCAAATCTAAAGTCATATTTAAATTTCTGAGAACATGTAGATGATTTTGAAAAAAAAATTTAGTCAATTTGAAGCAAGATGAAAAAATACCTTTTTGACCTTTTTTGACATTGAGAAGGTCATTGAAGGTCAAATGTCAAATCTAAAGTCAGATTTGAATTTCTGAGAACATGTAGATGATTTTGAAAAAAAAATTTAGTCAATTTGAAGCAAGTTGAAAAAAGACCTTTTTGACCTTTTTTGACTTTGAGAAGGTCATTGAAGGTCAAATGTCAAATCTTAAGTCAAATCTATAGTCAGATTTGAATTTCTGAGAACACGTAGATGATTTTGAAAAAAAAAATTAGTCAATTTGAAGCAAGATGAAAAAATACCTTTTTGACCTTTTTTGTCATTGAAGGTCAAATGTTAAATCTAAAGTCAGATTTGAATTTCTGAGAACATGTAGATGATTTTGAAAAAAAAATTTAGTCAATTTGAAGCAAGTTGAAAAAAGACCTTTTTGACCTTTTTTGACTTTGAGAAGGTCATTGAAGGTCAAATGTCAAATCTTAAGTCAAATCTAAAGTCAGATTTGAATTTCTGAGAACACGTAGATGATTTTGAAATTTTTTTTTAGTCAATTTGAAGCAAGTTGAAAACATACCTTTTTGACCTTGAGAAGGTCATTGAAGGTCAAATGTCAAATCTAAAGTCAGATTTGAAGGTCAAATGTCAAATCTAAAGTCAGATTTGAATTTCTGAGAACATGTAGATGATTTTGAAAAAAAATTTAGTCAATGTGAAGCAAGTTGAAAAAAGACCTTTTTGACCTTGAGAAGGTCATTGAAGGTCAAATGTCAAATCTTAAGTCAGATTTGAATTTCTGAGAACACGTAGATGATTTTGAAAAAAAAATTTAGTCAATTTGAAGCAAGTTGAAAACAGACCTTTTTGACCTTTTTTGACCTTGAGAAGGTCATTGAAGGTCAAATGTCAAATCTAAAGTCAGATTTGAAGGTCAAATGTCAAATCTAAAGTCAGATTTGAATTTCTGAGAACATGTAGATGATTTTGAAAAAAAATTTAGTCAATGTGAAGCAAGTTGAAAAAAGACCTTTTTGACCTTGAGAAGGTCATTGAAGGTCAAATGTCAAATCTAAAGTCAGATTTGAAGGTCAAATGTCAAATCTAAAGTCAGATTTGAATTTCTGAGAACATGTAGATGATTTTGAAATAAAATTTAGTCAATGTGAAGCAAGTTGAAAAAAGACCTTTTTGACCTTGAGAAGGTCATTGAAGGTCAAATGTCAAATCTAAAGTCAGATTTGAACTTCTGAGAAGATGTAGATGATTTAGAAAAAAATTGAAGTCAGTCTAAACAGTATTTGTTAAGTTATAGGAAGTTGTAAGAAATTGTTACAGACGCCGGACGCCAACCACCAACCGCCGTCGCAAAAAAACGGAGACCATAATAATATGTCATCACTTTTTGGTGGTGACATAAAAACATCGATGTTTTGTTTCAGACATCGATGCATCGCCAGAACCAGCTTTGGCAATGTATATCGCGATGTATCGATTAATCGCGACAACACTATAATATACATGTAAATGTATTGCTTTGGTAATTTAAAACCTATTTCTTCAAAATTAACTTTTATATGAGTTGGGTTATTGCTGAAATAATTCTTACTTTGCAACAGCTGTCCTTGTGTCAAAGTCAAGTGTTCTCATAGATTCCTTCACCTCCAGACAACCAACATACTGGAAGTGAACAGTAAATGCTGAATAGAATAGAATACTGCACCTCTACTTAATTTGGCGCTACTTACATTGGCAGATTTGCACTTTTTAACATTTGGCGGCTACTCAATTTTGCGGACTTGCAATATAACAATGCACTAATTGTAATTTGGCGGCTACTCAATATGGCAAATTAAAACTGCGGCCAAATTAAGTTGAAGTACAGTTATCTTTAAGTAGATCCGAACTTTTATGAAACTTCAATGATTATTTTACCAATAACAAATTATTCAGATATTTGTAAACATATTTTAATATTTCAAAATTAAAATATTACAATGAAATGGAATTGAATCACCATGTAAGCTAAAATGTCTGATTTTTGACAAAAATGACACGCTTATTGCTGCATGCATTAGCTTAACAAACTAGATTAGCAGACTATAGTCATATTAAATTGATAGTTATTTATATACAATGTACTGTTCTGTACATGATTTTATATTTTGTTCATGTTTTCAGTTAAATTTTCAACTTTTCAAATTTCCACGCATATAAATTCCCAGACTTTTATCAAATCTGAAATTCCATAGATAGACCTAGTCTTTAGCCATTTTAGAGGCAATTGATTCCAAATTATGGATTACAATTATGTACTTACCCTTACGCCATAACATACTCCTGCCTCAGAAGCAAGTTGTTCGTCAGGGTGTAGCCATCCCCTCACAGGCTTGTTCATGAAACTGCCACTATTTGCCCATTCTTTTTTATCTTTATTTTTTCCCTTCTTACCAATAAAACCACTTGCCATCTGGAAACATGTCATAACAAGCATCTTCATAAATTCTACAAGAGCTAGAGAGAAAATAAACAGGAACTCATGAGAACTTCCTTAAATAATTGAAACCAAAATGTGATAATTGTAATAATTTCCTTATAAATTAAGAAAAAGAGTTTTACAGTCAAGAAATAGAAATAAACCAGAACAACGGCAACGCCAAAGCGTAGCGAATCCCATCGAACAGAAATGGTTGGCATTTTTACAAATGAAGCGCAAATATCATAAAACAACACACCAGAAAGGCCACCATTTTCAAAATGGTTGCTCACTAGCCAAGTTGTCATCAGAAGAAATAATATGCTTTTAAGTAGCCATCTCTAAATTTTTTTGAAAAATCGCACACGTACTTGTAAAATAACACACGTAAAAATGGTGGCCATTTTGAAAAATGGCCGACTACTCCCCAAAGACAATGTGCCATGCCTAAAGTATTCACATATCAAATATGAACAAAATCGCTCCACTACTTTTTGAGTTATAGTAAAATACGTTAAAATGGCGGCCATTTTTCAAAATGGCCACCTTCTACCAAAAGCATCATTAGAAATAGATGGTGTTCCATGCTTATAGTATTCACATTCCAAATATGAACAAAATCGCTCCACTACTTTTCGAGTATTAGTAAAATACGTTAAAATGGCGGCCATTTTTCAAAATTGTTTTCAAAATGGCCGCCTTCTACCAAAAGTGTCATAGGACAGTGTGCCATGCTTATAGTATTCACATACCAAATATGAACAAAATCGCTCCACTACTTTTCGAGTTATAGTAAAATACATTAAAATGGCGGCCATTTTTCAAAATTGTTTTCAAAATGGCCGCCTTCTACCAAAGTGTCATAGGACAGTGTGCCATGCTTATAGTAGTATTCACATACCAAATATGAACAGAATCGCTCCACTACTTTTCGAGTTATAGTAAAATACGTTAAAATGGTGGCCATTTTTCAAAATGGCCGCCTTCTACCAAAAGTGTCTTTGGACAGTGTGCAATGCTTATAGTATTCACACACCAAATATGAACAAAATCACTCCACTATTTTTTGAATTACAGCAAAAATCGTAAAATGACGAGTAAAGGCCACCATTTTTCAAGATGGCTGCCATGTGCTTTTTAATATCTACATTTGTAGCATTATTAATGTCCTTTATAATTTTTTTACATTTAAAACATATTGCTATTACAGTTTTACATATTGCACCTTAATTACTGTAAAATCGTCACTAAAATGGCCGCCATTTTGAAATGAGCGGCCATTTTGAAAATCGGCTTTCGAGCAGAACTTCTACCCCCATAGGGTATATGTGTACGAAATATGAACAAAATCGGGCCAACGGTATTTGAGTTATTGCCCGGACGGACGGACAGACGGACGGACAGACGGACGGACGTACGTACGTACGGACGGACGGACGGACGGACGGAGGCGTTCCCTATATCCCTCCGAACTTCGTTCGATGGGATAATAAATACATGATAATTAAAATTATGAAAGCTTGATTATTATGTTACTGTGATAATAACTTGAACTAAGAGGAGGGAAAGCCCCAGATTTTAAAGATGACAGACATAATTACATCTCTTGCTTACCACCTTCATTCGTTCAAATTTTCATTGGCTAGTTATCAAATACTACATTTCGATGGGATGTTTTAATTTATATAGGCATATTCCGTACACCTTTGATATTGGTTAACATGCCAGAAATGAACATAATATTATTCGAAGCGTATTTCGAAAATTTTGAAACCGCCATTGAAGACATCATTTGTTTGTCAACTTTTGACCAATCAGAGATGTATGTCATCTCAATACAGGTTTACATTATAAGCGTATGTCATCCCCCTCTGACTTGAACTGATTCAGATCCAAGTCAGAAGAACTAGAAAAAGATCTATTGCAATTTTTTCAAAATTGTATTCTTGAAAAAGATATAGGGTAATGTACGATTTTAAATTATAGGTATACATATAGTATCGACCTGAGTAACCAAACCTGTCTGGCCGAATTGTCTACTCCCTACATGTCGTGGCCTACATGTAACCTTTCTGGCCCAGTTATATACACAACAAATCTGAAGTACATAAAGCTTGATTATTATGTTACTGTGATAATAACTTGAACTAAGAGGAGGGAAAGCCCCAGATTTTAAAGATGACAGACATAATTACATCTCTTGCTTACCACCTTCATTCGTTCAAATTTTCATTGGCTAGTTATCAAATACTACATTTCGATGGGATGTTTTAATTTATATAGGCATATTCCGTACACCTTTGATATTGGTTAACATGCCAGAAATGAACATAATATTATTCGAAGCGTATTTCGAAAATTTTGAAACCGCCATTGAAGACATCATTTGTTTGTCAACTTTTGACCAATCAGAGATGTATGTCATCTCAATACAGGTTTACATTATAAGCGTATGTCATCCCCCTCTGACTTGAACTGATTCAGATCCAAGTCAGAAGAACTAGAAAAAGATCTATTGCAATTTTTTCAAAATTGTATTCTTGAAAAAGATATAGGGTAATGTACGATTTTAAATTATAGGTATACATATAGTATCGACCTGAGTAACCAAACCTGTCTGGCCGAATTGTCTACTCCCTACATGTCGTGGCCTACATGTAACCTTTCTGGCCCAGTTATATACACAACAAATCTGAAGTACATAAATCTGGGCCAGATGATGTCCAGTGCAAAAATGGGTGTATTTACTTTTGAAAAATATGTAGCTGAATCATCACTAGTATTAGTAATCAAACCTGCCCTTACGGAAATACATTGCTGCGGCAGCGCTGCTGCAGCGCTGCCGCAGCGCTGCCGCAGCAAATTGGCTCCAAATGTTGGATGCAGGTAATTGCAGCCAATCGCTGCGGCAGCATGATGCTGCGGCAGCATCATATTTGCAGCGAATTGGCTCCGACAGCGCTGCAGTTAATTGCAGCCTTCTCGGAGCTGGCTCCGACAGGGCTGCAGCAGCGAATTGGCTCCGACAGCGCTGCAGTTAATTGCAGCCTTCTCGGAGCTGGCTCCGACAGGGCTGCAGTATTTTCCCGCTCTTTTTATACCAAAAGAAAGATGGCTGACAAAGAATTTCAACTGTAAGAGATTTGGGTAATTTTATGATTTTATAATAATAGTATGAAAATGACCAATCAAATATAGATTCAGAAGTTACTGACATACTTGAACATTCTGCATGTCTATTTTGTGAGAGATAAAATGTAAGTATTGCTGTGTTATTCCAGTTTAGATGGGCAAATCTCATTTTCTTTGTGAATTTATAAAGGCTAAATTTTAATTCTATTCATACAGTCAAAGTGGTCAAGCATAAATGTGTTGTGTATGAGGATTGTACCATGCAGTAAAAATATAAGGTATTTTATAAAGATTATGAAGATAAATACTGCTGGAGGCATAGAGGGTCCTTCAATAACTGGAGCCTTCTGGCCTTCAGGACAATTCTGAATGGGTAAAATCACCAGTGATGTCCCATAATAATTGCTTATATCGTCTTACGTCCCGGGCCAACCTAAAATGAACAATTTGCGTGAGATTTCCAAAAATTGTGGTACTTTTATGGGAGATTTTTCCATAATCTGGTAGTTTTTAAAAAAATTGGTAGTTTTCGCCGTAGATTTTGAAAAATCTGGAGTTTTTTAGGTAAATTTTAAAACAACTGAAGTTTTTACGGTAGATTTGAAATAAAACAGTACTTTTTAAAAAAAAGCAGATTATCTCAAATTTTTTTCTTATAAAAGCAATAGTTTTTGTGGTAAATTCTGCAAAAAGTGGTACTTTTATTGGAGATTTTTGACAAAATCTGTAGTTTTTGCAAGAGAATTTTGAAAAAACTTTGGACTTTACCTTAATTAGTACGCTTTGCATGGCCAGATTTGAATATTCACGGGAATAACATATACTTCGAATTTGTGTGTCCCTACCCAATTTTGCATATTATTTGATGTTTTGGGATCGTATAGTAGAAAATGAATTTTGTAGACAATAATGCATAATGGGTAAGAGTAATGCAAGAAAAAGGTTTTAAATATAGCTAATAAATAGGTAATACTCTGATAATTCTCATCTAACACTACCTTGTTGTTACAATGTAATTTTCATTTTATAATCAGTCAATATTCTACATGAGCGTTGAATGGTAACAATATCTTATTATGAACACCTATGTATTTATTAACGTAATTCTCTCTAATTTGCGTGATAATTTTTTTAGTTGTTTGTTAGCTAAGAATTAATAGAGTATTACCTATTTATTGTCAATATTTTCCCATTGATTTATTTCACTTGGGCCCTCATTGATAAAAACAATAAAATGCCCCAAAGCATCTCGAAACTGAACAAATATTACGCTAATAAAATAAGGGGTCGGGAAAGGGCTAAAACCATGAGACTCAAGTCAAACAAGAGGAAATCTATGAAAATTCAATATTAAGATTTAAGAAATCCAAAAATTGTGCATTGCTTTCTTGTTAACTCATATAGGCAATCAAGTCGTAAACAAGGTAGAAAGTGTGTGTGTGAAAAATGTACAAATAACTCTGAGTCTGATTACCACCATGTTTCTGACAATGTTTGTTCAGTTAGGCAAACTGGGGGATATAACCCAACAAAATCACAGCCATGCAACTATAATGGAAGAGATAGGCATCCATCATATTGGGTGAGATGTTTTCAATCCCCCTCCCCCTAAAATACCTCAGGCCAATAGTAGCCTTCTCTGCAATTGCTGCGGTTAACCGCAGCTTAAGTCCCAGAGTGAAATGGCTCCGACAGTGCTGCGGTTAACTGCAGCCTTCTCGCAGCATGCTGCGGCAGCGCTGCGGCAGCCTAATTTGCATGCTGCGGGAGCGCTGCGGCAGCCTAATTTGCATGATAAATTCCAATGTGCTGCCGCAGCGCTGCGGCAGCATGCTGCGGGAGCGCTGCGGCAGCAGGCTGCGGGAGCGCTGCGGCAGCAGGCTGCGGCAGTGCTGCGGCAGCAGGCTGCGGGAGCCAGTAAATTTCCGTAAGGGTGTTGCCGAGTTATCTACTCCCTCGTGGCGCAGCCTAACCTTTGGGGCCCAGGTACATATACCCAAAATCTGAAATCCGTAGATCTTGGCCAGATGATGTCCAGTGAGTGCAAAAATGGGTGTATTTACTTTTGAAAAACTGGTGGATGAATCAGCCTTGTCAGGCAACAGGGCCGCTTGGGAAAATTTAACTCAAACAATGTGGGCTTTCAAGAAACCAATCAAAGATACTGGATAACTTAGAGTTTGTGCGTGCAGATGGAAAATATAATGAAATTCAAATTCATCATACCCTCCATTTATGGGATAGATTCCAAAAAAGATTTTATATTTCCCTGAAATGAAACAGGAACTTGAGGAAGTAGAAAATAGAAGTGGCACTAAATATGGATATATATGTATGAAATATGTGATTTTTTCTGACATAAAAAGTTAAAAGTCTTACCTTGGTCAATCAGATCATGCTTTCTTACCAATATCGTTCAAGAATTTTACTATAAGGTGTCAAATTGACTAGTCTATAGAAACACTAATCTTAGAATGTTTTTATTTTTACATTTTTGTTTACGCAATTGCGCATGAGCAGTGACCTAGTTTTGACTTAGATTTTTTAATCTTTTTTCTTAAAAGCGATGATCGTCACTAATCATGTATTGCAAATTATAAAATACATATCATATAAGTTTTCAAAGAGTTTCAACAAGTTTGAAACAACTCTTAATTGATTTTTAATTGATCGACCAATCAAATGATGTAAAACTTGTCACGTGACTATATCTCTCCAATCAAAATTTCAGCTGCGACATTTAAATTTTAAAATTTGAAGAAGCAAGAGAAGCAACAGGATTTCTGCAGATAATTCGATATTTAGACGTATTAACGATGGCTCACCACAAGATATTTTACTCAGACAAATATAACGATGATGAATATGAATACAGGTTAGTTTTATGGTGGCTTTAATTTAGAAAAAACATAAAATTGAAAATATCTTTTTTTGAAAAATGTTTGGGAATTTTTGTTCATCCATGGTGGTCATTTTGTTAGTATTTGTCCAAGTTTAATTCCTTTCTCCTATGGCATATATAAACAACCTAGCACAATAAGCTATACTTTCAAGACTGTTTCTGTTTCAGACACGTTATGTTGCCGAAAGAAATCACAAAGTTGGTGCCCAAAGATCGCCTGATGTCAGAGAATGAGTGGCGAAGTATTGGTGTACAGCAAAGTCAGGGATGGGTCCACTACATGATGCACACACCAGGTAATATTTGCTGTCACGATGTCTTAAGGTCTCATGGAAGTTAACAGGAAATGACAAAACAAAAAATGACAAAGCCATGCTGGATTTTGAAAATTTTTTGAACCAAGATAACAGAGTTCTGTTTGGACTTCCAGTCAGTTTAACTAGTTCCACATATCATTTACATGACTTGGAACACAATTGAAATGGTCAGAATGACCATAAACATGATAAAATAACCTTTCCAGCCCTCTGAAAATGTGACTGAAAAATAGCTAAAAGTAGGTGCTCAGGAAAGGTCAATCGACAGAATCTTTTGATTTTTTCAGAAAATGTGTCCAATATATTGCTCTAAATGACACAATCTTTGAAATTTTAAAAAATTGTCTGAAACAATAATGGCTGTAATAAAAAGGAAAATATATCGATTTTCAATTCAGTTTTTTTTTAATTTTTTCTTTTTCTAAGAATGATATCAAATTTATTTAAATTGTATCATTTAGAGCAATATATTGGGCACATTTTCTGAAAAAGTCAAAAGATTCTGTTTGGTGACCTTTCCTGAGCACCGACTCTTAGCTATTTTTTAGTCATATTTTCAGAGGGCTGAAAAGGTTATTCTATCATGTTTATGGTCATTCTGACCATTTCAATTGTGTTCCCGGTCATGTAAATGATATGTGGAACTAGTTAAACTGACTGGAGGTCCAAACAGAACTCTGTTATCTTGGTTCAAAAATTTTTCAAAATCCAGCATGGCTTTTTCATTTTTTGTTTTGTCATTTCCTGTTAACTTCCATGAGACCTTAATTAATGGCAGCTTCAGTGGAATGTTTTTATTCATGGACCGGGCGCACTCTTTTGCCTGTACGATTACAACTTAGGAGAATTATCTATGCCCCTTACACTTAAGATATCTACTTCAATAGATTCCTTGGTATTTTAGCATTCTTTTCGTGTAGTTAAATCCACAATTGTCAAGGTTTATCGGCAGAACGAAGAAATTTTCGTTTTTGATCGCAATATTTGCATATAATATTTAACTTATTTCAACCGTCAAATTCCTCCATTTATTGGTACCTGCCATTTCCGGGCTAGTCAACAGGGGAATCCCCTTTTAAATCCAACCGCCATCTTGAAAAGTGATGGAATTTCTCTCGATGAAAAAGAAAAATGTTCCCATTCTGCCGATATACCCAGACAATTGTGGATTCAACTACACGAAAAGAATGCTAAAATACCAAGGAATCTATTGAAGTAGGTATCTTTACTCCACCAGAAACTTTCTCTCAATGGCCAAATTGAGTCTCACTGTCTCAAATTGCAGTAATATTCACTTCAATCTTTAAATCTACCAGCAGTATTCAGCAATTCGCAATCCACTTCCGGAATTATCTGGAACACATAACGAGCAAACCGAATTAGATTATATCTGGTATCTTCGAAAGCCAAGTACATTACGAACATTCATGGGCTTTCAAAAGAACATTACTGCAGTCATTTTAAGCAAAACTAAAATATACCAATTTATTTCTACATTTTGTATTGAAAAAAAGAAAAAGTTGAAAATAAAATCTAAATAACTAAAGGTTTAAAATTCATTAAATGATTTATTAATTTTGTAATTTCAGAACCTCATATACTTCTGTTCAAGAGACGAGCCCAGTCATCCTGATCTCATGGCATCGCTCAAACAGCCAGTTCCTCCGCACTCAGGCATACATACACAATACACATGGACTCAGAACATTTTGGAATGAAATTGACATTCTCCTGAGAAGATGCTGTCAAATAATCTCATCAGTTTAGGAGTTTATGCTAATAGCTGTCAAGAAGTCAGTATGACTGCTATTGGTTTGATAATGAGTGGGTTAGCCAGGTAATATTTAAACAACATTGAATTTATTGAACTTGGTTTACAGTTCAAAAATGTTTCAGTTTCTATTACACATAGACTAAGAATTATTCCATATTTTCTGGCTAACCATACATCTGAATCGACAGGATTTAGTGGATCACATAGGTTGGATTTGAGATACCTCAGCTAGCACACATGCATTCATAATTGGTAGCAATAATTGTTTCAAACGCTCAAGCTACACAAACATTGTAAATAAAACATAACATGAACCTTCAGGAGAACTGTAAGGTGCAATAAACATGTGGCCCAAATGTAATTTGTCAGATTATGAGAAATCATTTGAATCATTATATGTGGTGTTTTGTGTTGAACTTATTAGGATATATAGTGATGAAGAGAAATAAAGTATATATTAGGCCTATGTCTCAAATGACAAATTTATTAGGACATTGATTTAGAGAAATGGAACATAGACATTTGGTAAAACTGTACTTGTTCATAGATTGTGAAGATTAAAATTAAGATATTCTCACCATCAAACAAATTGAAACAATGGCTGTCATTGCTACGAGATGACAAGAAAGATTTTTCAGATCTTTGTTTTTGATTTCAACATAGAAACGAAATGCTTTTCATTTAGAACCTGTTAGAGTTAATTTGGTAAGACCAGATAGGTCTTATGCCATGCAAACATGCCATTGTCAAAACTACTACATATGTTGTACAAAACAAACATTTTATTAACTATAAATAAAATAATTTTATTACAATATCAGTATTTACATATATATATTCAGTAATTATTGCAAAATAATGTATTGAGAATGAAAATAAGGCCAGGGAAAATACCCTTGTTTCTTTTCACTAGATGGGTAACATTTTTGAAAAGAATAGTTGAGTTGGTCAGATGTAAATGATTAATTCCAATGCAAAATTATTCTTATTTCAGTTCTATCGAGTCACTGAGCTATCAATAAATTCTTCAGCATCAAGTAATAGTATCGGACAAAAATAATCAATAGCAATTTTACAGAAGTTCTAGATATTTCTGAGAGTGATAATGAGCAATTTGTAAAAGACAAAAAATGGTCTAAAAAGACCAGACCAGAAACAAGAATATCTTTCCCTCTGCCTTTTTACTGGCACTTTTATAATTGCTCTTGACTTTTAAAATAGTCTGAGTTGTCTAGTCCTTACACTCCATTATAAGTGGAGTTACAAATTCAGAATGACGTATGCCTAAAGAATGTTTTGGTGCTGCTGGCTTGTTTAGGTCAACTACTTCTGGTCTGTGTGCCCCTGGGCCTGGTTTCACGGTCCCATCTCCAGGCATGTGGTTGCGTCCTAGCAACGAATATCTGAAATTAGGAATTTCATTCACTGTTCACTCTTTGGTGTTAATAATGGACAGGACTTTGAATGATTCTAAAAAACAAATGAATGGATTGTTCAATTTCATTCTTGAGTTGCACAAAAATTTCATCAAGATAGAATTCAGTGGTTTTTAGAACGTATTTCACATTCTTAGGGATCATTACCTTGGAGCTTGATTACGCATAACATTTGGTTGAACAGCATTGTACTGTCCAGGGCCTGGTGTCTTAGCAAGATCCTCTGCAAAGTTCCTTGCATGCGATCTTCCTGTCATAGACCAACTTGGATATGATTGTTTGTTAGCCTGAGTACTGCCCATGACTGGTGGCAATGCGTAGACATTTGACGCGGGATTCAGGTCACGTTTGCGGCAACGCGTCCTGAATCCCATACTGTACTTGCATGAGTGTCTCTCCCCTGGGGGATGAACTTTCTCAGGATGATAACAACCTGGAGCTGGAGTCTTGAATTCATCTAGAATTAAAATTAATAGTACAGTTAGATGATTTCATAGTCTTGTTAGTCTAACTTCAAGCACATGTGACTCCCTCCACTACGTACCTCCCCACTCTGGTGCTGAAGAAGGTACAGGGGGTCAGATATTTGAAACATGACTAAACGTCTTGGTTCAAGCTCTCATACCACCTCTAATGAAGATAAAGTAGAAAATCATAGATGCAATGCCAAGACTAAAATTACTGGGCTCACAGATAACATGGATTCAAGTCTCATCTCTTTGGACTTAAATTGCAAAAAAATTCTAGATGGAAAAGTGCAATTTTTATCAATCAATCAATTTGACTATATTATATTTATCTTGCGCATACAGTGAAACCTGTAAAGTGGAACACTTGCAAAGTGGAACACATGTAAGTGGAACACCTCAAGTAGAACACCTCAAAGTCCCGCAACCTATTGAGTTATTGTTAAATGAACATCTGTAAGTGGAACACCTCCCAAGAGGTACCATAGTAAAACCTGTCTTGTAGAGGTTCATTTAACATTAAATAAATTGGTCTTGGGACTCTAACAGAGGTGTTCTCTTTACAGGTTTCACTGTATGTTCAATGTTCATGTAAATCTAATTGATACTTCACATCTTTTCAATGATAAAGTCCATATTGAAAGATGAAATGGAACTTACTTATTTCTTTCTGCCTCGATAACATAGAGTATACTGGTGTTCCATCACGACCATTCCTTGTGATGTGAGGGTTTATTGAATAACAAGGTCCTGGACTGCATATGAAACTGGACAGTTTAAACCTTCTTCCAAAAGAGTATGATGGTTTCTTGTGTTTCGTTGCATCATGTGCCTCGTCACCACATGTGGATGGTAATGCATATCTACCAGGACCTGGGCCTGAAATGAAATATTCAAATAAATGTTTATTTTATAGCTCACCCTGCAGAACTTGTACACCAATTCAGACTTCCCAACCTCATTTCATAATGTGAAAAGTTACACTTTATCTTTGAATCAAATGGCGCATTGGATAGTTCTTACTCAGCAATGGCGGGTATTAACCATGGGGTCATTAACAGAAACTTCATAAAGTTACGAATTCGTAAATCAATTGTTGTTACCATGGATATAATGACGTCACAGTTAGAGAACAATGGACTTTACGAATTCTTAACTTTATAAAGTTTCTGTCAATGGCCCCCATTTTAACAGATTAGAACAGGTAAGAATCCAAATATTATTAGCATTCACCAAAACCAGACAAAGAACCACCAACACAACTGATTGTCAACCTTACACAACACAATTGGTCACAACCTAATTATAAACCAACATGACACAGCCAACAAAACCAAATTCAGCACAACCCATTGTAGAATTAACACCACCCAATTAGGCACAACCTAATGCCAACCCATCATAACACAATCAGTCACAACCTAATACACAACCAATAAAACCAAACCATTAAAACACATACAGACACAATCTATATTGTATTGTGTTCTATTTTGTTTACCACAAATGAAGGTGAGCAATATCTCTTGGGTAAATCCTGGTATATGTAAAGTCGTAATTCATGAGTCAAACACCCTGAAGCACAACCAAACTGTAATACTAATATACCAACTAACTTACTCCAACTTGAGATAACATCAATCACACAACACAATCAGGCACAAGCCGATACCTACTTGATTTGGCACAACTCAACACCCAACCAGCATAGCACAGTCACAACATAACACATCCCATTGCCAAATTAACATTCAGGAATAGCTCAATACCAAAGAAACAACACAACCGGGTACAACCAGAAAAAGACAAAAAATACAATCGACCGTCAAGCTAATGAAACTTTTCAGACAACCCCAATAATGAACCAACATGATACAGCCAACATAATCAAAGTAAACACAACCAGCTCTTGAAATAACACAACACAATTAGGCACAACCTAACACCAAATCATCATAACAAACGACCATCAAAACAAATTGACACAATAATAACAACCTATTCGGGCACAACCCAATAAAAAACAACACAACACAGGCACTAAAACCAAACTCAACACAAGGAATTGTTTTAACACAACACAATTTGCCACAACCTAATTTCCTGAAAAAATATTTTGATTGATTGATGATCTTGGCTTATTGTATGACAACCAACATTTTCATGTTTAATCACAATATGTACATTGACCATCCAATAGTATGTCATTCGAGTTTCAGACAGACTCAACCAACACTTTTTTAATGAATCGTGAAATTTAGTGACTATTGCAAGTTTCTAGCATTGAAGTGAATGGAGGTCTGGCCCAAGAAAATCAAAGACAAAGATGGGTGACATCTATTATGTCAGCTTTATTCAGCTAGATTTTTTTTCTATTTAGACTATACAATTGCTGGCTATACCCCAGTCTGATATTGGGATATGAGACCAGGTCCAGCCTTGAAAAGGGTAAGCAACGAAGCATAGGCCTGCTGCGCCTATATGCTCTATATCTATCACTCAGTGTAGTGCCTTATAAAAATTGTGCTGATTCAGCTTCTTTTCCTTGTGTATATTGAAATTGAACTCCAGGCATTCAAGGTTGACAAATATATATTTTACCTCTCTCTCTTGCTGAAATAATAATCTCTTTATTTTCATCAACGTCTTCGGGTTCCATTTCGATGTTTTCAAATTATTTGAAATTTTTTAAAATGTAAACAAATGCACGTGCATCGTTGTCAATGAAGCCTTGGCAATGTAACATGACGTCATATCGATAGGTGGCGAAAAGTACATCCGCTCACGTGAACTTTGGAAAATAAAGTTTTGAAATGTAAGAATTTGTTTATTTTACGTACTTATTCGATGAATATAGTGAACATTTTGAATAGCATCGTGTCAAGTTGTTCTTAACATATTCAACATTACATTTAAGTCCAGGAATGTTTCTTACGAAGGTCCATATCCTTAGCAATTTTAGTTTTAAATGGGTCACTTCGACTTCCGGGTGGAAAAAACTGTTTCAGTTTGTTTTGATTTTGGAATTTTTCTTTTTCAAATGATACACATGTACCCCCTGTAGAAACTGTGTATATTTGAATGTATTGTACATGTATAAGTTATGTATGAAGCTGAACGCAGTAAAATTCAAGCTGTTCAAAAAATGTAAACAAGAAATTTGAGCAGAGCACAGCTGACCCTGTCTTCTTCTAGCCTACACTCTGTTAAGCATGATAAAAGGCAAGAAGTTTAGTTAGAAATAAAAGAGTTATCTCATGAATGGGACCCTTACATGGCTCCTAAAAGGTAGAAGACACTAAATGGTGTAACACTATAAGCTGAATTTTGTCCACATAGAGCATGTGCACAATACTAAAGACATGTAAAATTGAACTGTCAAAATAATAGAAATTACTCACCAGCTCGCCTCTACCGGAAGTTATGATACGTTATGGTGTAACTACGGTAATTAATTTTAAAATATTGAAAAAATCAACAACATTCAATTTCTAGGGTGTACAACCATTTTCGAGCGAATTTGCCGATATAATAACAATATTTTTGAGTTCCCCTAGGCTATATATAAACTTCATCAATACACAGTATATTCAACATAGGTTTTGCTTCTCGATTTTTAAATATCACTATGCAAAGACAGGGACTCATTTTAGGTAAAATCATTGCTTCACCAATGAAAATTAAAGGGAACGTTAGCTCACAAAATAAATAAATCCATTACAATGTAAAGTATATGATTTGAAAGATTGTCTGGATTATATGTGTGATCGATTGATGCATAAACAAACATATTCATTTCAACTTGCAGACCTCCATTCTGGCTCATGTATAGGCCTAAGACGCCATATTGCCTTATGTATTGTACTGCCCATGCGTGCATACTTAATGCGTGACGTCACATCGACAGAGATCATCGATCAAGTTTGACTAAAAAATTAAAAGATCCACACTTAACAGCACAAAAATGATATCAATGATCGCCTATTTCATATCAAATAAGTGTAGGATGTAAGGTTTAACATTTTTCATGTTATTTAGTATTTACAGAAGCAGAGCTGGTAAAGAAACCAAGTTTTAAATTCCGATTTTGACTGTTGACAAAAATAAAGAAAAGAGAGAAAGAGGTGACTTGTTAGAAACAATGACATGAAATTGTGAATAAAAAAGATATTATTGTGGGTTTTATTTTTTGAGAGTTCATCAAATACACTCATGTGTATTAATTTAAATATGTATTGCAATACCTCTCAGTTCTACCAAGGATTATAAAAACTGATCGAAATGGCTTCGTTTTTAAAGTATAAAAAACACTACCCTACCCGGAAGTAGTATAACATGTATATTGAAACCATGTGTAAACTGTAAATCACGTGAATTGGCTGATGCAATCAGGATGTGACTGGTACAAAGTAACTATGATGCAATCAGGGTATGACTTGTGCAAAATAATTGGCTTCACATAGAATTCGCGATCTTTGCTCTTTAGCATAACATGAAGACATGTTTTGTGTTTAAGTAGCTAGATTCAAATACAAACTAAATGAATAAAACATAAACCAACCATCATTTGTTCCAATCATGGCGAATTTTCAAGGAAATACGTGTAACTGAATGTAAATCAACAGCGGAGCTCTTCAATTATGAGGTGAGAAAAATATAAAAATAAAAACAAAAATAAATCTCACAGAATAGAGCTATTTATACGATTCTAAGTACATTTTAAGTGCTCCATAGATTAATGTAAGTATAAAAGCCATTAACCTCAACTGGGAAGCACTTTCCAACTATTTTTACGGCTTGAATTGTAAGAAAATGGCACTTATCTCAAAAAATGGAAATTTGAAAGAAGCTCAATTTATTGTGAAGATGAAGTTTATATATATCTGTATATGGGGGTGCGAATATATAGTCATAGTATGGGCTAATTCGCTTAAAAATGGCGATATATACCTCAGAACTTGTATTTTGTGATTTTTTCAATATTTTAAAATTAATTACCGTAGTTACACCATAACGTATCATAACTTCCGGAAGAGGCGAGTTGGTAAGTATATTTCAGTTCTTTTGACAGTTCAATTTTACATGTCTTTAGTATTGTGCACATGCTCTATGTGGACAAAATTCAGCTTATAGTGTTACACCATTTAGTGTCTTCTACCTTTTAGGAGCCATGTAAGGGTCCCATTCATGAGATAACTCTTTTATTTCTAACTAAACTTCTTGCCTTTTATCATGCTTAACAGAGTATAGAGTCCATTTCACTGCTTCAGTTCGTCAGTAGAACGGCAAAAATAAGAAATTGGGAGACCATTGTGCAATAATATATGGAAAAGTATATTCATAATGTACATGAATGACATTTGTATATCTTGGATTGCTTCTTGTTTGGCTTATAAAGTGTGTGGCCTCTTATATTTGGATGTTTCTCTGCCATGTTATTTTCAAGAAGATTAACATGGCTGAAATTCTTCAAAATAACAAGACGGCACAGGCTTATTGCACAAAAAACTAAAAAATCTGAAATATACAAATGTCATTCATGTACATTATGAATATACTTTTCCATATAGTATTGCACAATGGTCTCCCAATTTCTTATTTTTGCCGTTCTACTGACGAAATGAAGCAGTGAAATGGACTCTAGAGTAACTTTATTCTTCGGCCACAGTGTGACCTTACTCTATCTTCAAGCCCTGTTTGTTTTAGCGCTTTTTAGGCTATGTCTCATAGACTGTTGCTAATAATGAACTAATATGGAGTAAACATACCTTCATTGAACTTGGTATGTAGTCTTAGTTCATATTATTCCGTGCCAGGACTATAGTCCTGAGAACGTCTCAATCTTTTGCCTTTACGATTGCAACATGGGAGAATTGTCTACGTCTCTTACACTTAAGATACCTACTTCAATAGATTCCTGGGTATTTTAGCATTCTTTTCGTGTAGTTGAATCCTCAATTGTCTGGGTATATCGGCAGAACCGGAACATTTTTCTTTTTCATCGAGAGAGATTCCATCGCTTTTCAAGATGGCGGTTGAATTTAAAAGGGGATTCCCCGTTTGACTGGCCCTGGAGTACCAATAAATGGAGGAATTTGACGGTTGAAATAAGTTAAATATTACACATAAATATTGCGATCAAAAACGAAAATTTCTTCATTCTGCCGATAAACCCAGACAATTGTGGATTCAACTACACGAAAAGAATGCTAAAATACCAAGGAATCTATTGAAGTAGGTATCTTAAGTGTAAGAAGCGTAGAAAATTCTCCCATGTTGTAATCGTACAGGCAAAAGATTGAGACGTTCCCAGGACTATAGTCCTGGCACGGGATAAAGTTCATATGTCCGTCTACATCGGCTATAATTTAGTCTTTTCTAAAAGCAATTTTTTCTTCGGTAAAAACAACCATTTTGTTTTTTGCTATAGCGAGATAAAGTTCAACCTTAACAGATGTTTTAAAAATGGCAGATCCGGTGATTTTAAGTTTAGACCAAAGCATGCAATATCTCACAAAGGACAGTGTCCGTTTGAATTCTAATTGATGAAATATTCTCATTACGATTTTTGGAATAATATCTGAAAAAAAATTTACACCAGAATAAACATTTTCACTAGTGCATGGAAGTCCAAATGCCATGTGTTCTAGCCAAGTAATTTGGCAAGAGACTCGAGTAAGCCGAGAGCATTATAATTGAAAACATGGCAGAATTATTGAAAAAGTAGAAAATAACACTTTCCTGCCCTAATAAAATTCAGTGAAAAAATACTTGGTATGACGTTGTGAACTTCCAGTGCTACCACATATAAGAGAATGTGATGTGACCAAGAGGTTCCACAACTAGTTCAAATAATCTGATCCCAGCTGGGCTTATTTATTAACCTGTGTTGTCTTACACATGTGCAGGATTGAACATTCATACATAGCTAGGCAAAGTATATCCAATGATCCAGCCAATCAAAACACATTATTCCGCAACTGCATTCTGTTATATAACCAATAACAAACTCAAGGTCACTAGTTAAATGGTTGTAATGGTGAAAATGACTGAACTCTACATATTGAAATTGATACTTTGTCAGTTTGACCCTTGCAAAAAGTTTCATTGAAAATTTGTTCTTTTAGTGATTTTGTATCTTTTAGATGATTTTGTCGAAAATAATATTTTGCAATGTGTGAAAATAATTTAAGCACAAGACTCAATGCATTGTGTAATGGCCATTCTTTTCAGGCCTTGTTTCCCTAAAATTAACACTCAAGCTCCGGATTTCATGCAAATTTTGGAAAGCAACACCTTCAAGGAATGGTCATTCATTCCATATTTCACTGAGTTCAGGGCTTAGATCCTTAAATCCTTCTATAAATCTGTTGAAGCAAGCATAAAGATCAATCATATGTTTTTTCAGATTGAGATATAGGTTGGTTTAGTCCTGTGAAGCATATATATCCTGGGGCTAGATATACACTTACTGTTATCCCAAATAGTTGTTTCCATGGTTTTCAATCACAAACTTAACAAGCTCAATTTTTTGTGGGACTTGAGTAAGAGCATTGGAGGGGGTGGGGTGGGTTGGATGTCTTGCATGTTTTATATGATACGTCACTAATATATTTCAGTGCCAGGAGTGAGATGTTTTGACCTGTTCAGCCACTATACATACTAAAATGGGTGAAATTACAAATTCTCAAGAATATCAGAGTTTCCGCAGCACAGTGCCTTTAAGAACAGTAAGTATTTCACAGTTTCCTTTAAAAATAGTTAGTTTCTATGGAAATTAGTCTTTGACTAAAAGATGGCCTCAATTTTTGTCTGTCCATTCATCCATCCTTTTTTGGACAAATGAAGCTAGCTAATGCTCATTTCCATTTTTGGCAGTGTACAGTTTACTGGAATTGTAATACCACCGGTCCTGACTTTTTCCCTAATTTCATAGAAATTAGTTTTTTGTTGAAAAAATATCACATATACAAGTAATGTGTCAGTTATCCATGAAATATTTATATTTGACCTACTTTTACAAATTGACCTTAAGAATTTGGAGCCAGATCTAACAGTTGTAGCATTGCTGTTTTATTCTTGAAGTAATTTTTTGCATCAAAATTAGAAATTATTAAAATTCACTAATATTGTGTTTTATTTTAGATAATAGTTGATGATGATGATTCAAAGAAATGGTCACTTTATGATGCGGGTCCTAAAAGTGTGCGGTGTCCTCTTGTGTGTTTCCCTCCTGCTAGTGGATCCGCTGATGTTTTCTTCAAACAGATACTACCCCTAACAGCACAGGGCTATAGGGTTATTGCAGTAAGTTCACCAAAGATGTATTTGAGTCTAAGAAATGAAATATCATATCAAGGACTAAATTCTTGTGTAAATGGTATTTTAAAGCAGAGATGTAACTTTGTACATGAATGCCATATATGCCACTGCAAACACTTAACATAAAATAGATTTAGATTTATATAAAAGTTGAAATAAATATTTTATTTACATATTGAACTGCTATAGCATACACGGACAAAGTGGCCAAGTTACGCATCTGGTAAGCATGGAAGACATTTCTAGAACATAGAGTTTGGCTGTACAGTATTTGATTAAAAATATGCAAAGAGTTGACTGTATTGTAAAAATGACTTTGAATGCCTTCCAGGTAGATTACCCCATCTATTGGACATTGCAAGAGTTTACAGAAGGCTTCAGAAAGCTATTAGATTCCCTTAACCTCGATAAGGTAAGTGTAAGACAACTTTATACAGAACATATCCCCAGCTCTAACTTTTTCTAGCCTACCAAGTTTGCTCTCTTGAAATGGCAACAACAGCTCAAATAAAAGGCTATGGTGTGTGCTTGCATGTTAATGTACAATGCATATATAGAACACATGGCTCCTTAATACTCTTAATGGAAATGAACTGTTTAAACTACGAATATTGATGGAGGATATATGCACAAGTGGTATTGCTCACCTTCATTGGTGGTGAACAAATTGTAATATAAAAGTCCACACTCCTTTATAATTGCTCACCAAATAAAGCACAAATACTGAATTTCTATTTTTTGTAGGTCCATTTATTTGGTGCATCACTGGGAGGTTTTCTTGCTCAAAAGTTTGCAGAACACACATACAAGTCTCCGAGGGTTCACTCTATGATTCTCTGTAACAGCTTTATAGATACTAACATATTTCAACAGACCCAGTCAGCACATTCGTAAGTATTATATTGTTGGGTTTTTCTAAGTAATGCCAGGTTTCAATTCTTGCATAAAGATGGCAGCATAGCTGAGCATCAAGACTTAACAAAATCATTGAAGCCAAAAGCCACAACTCTGTTCTTTTCACTCATCATATAGGCAATACTTAGTCATTTCTCAAACCCAAACTAGCTGGACTCTGTTATTTTCACAAACCTGTATCTCAATACTTAAACATTTTGCATCCAACCAAAGGGGCTGGACTCTGTCATTTTGCAATAACAGTGGTTCATGACTTAGGCAATTTTGATCATTCATACAGTTGGACTTAACCATTTTCAGTGACATTTCAGTAAGAACTTAGGATAATTTTGTCATTAAGTTTCATTGGCACTTTGCCAAATTGGTCATTGGCAGGTTGCCAATTGTGGTTTGGCAACATGCCAATAGTAGTACTATATAAGAGGCTTCACCTTTGAAATGTAGATGGTGCATTGCACAACCCAAAAGGCATGGTGTTATATTCATATAAACCGCTGCGTGTGCAGAAAGCAGTCTTTTCACGGTCCTCTGGTTTAACTTCAATCTGCCAGTAACCAGATTGAAGATCAAGGCATGTGTATATTGTAGAATCGCCTAATGAGTCTAAGCAGTCGTTGATGCGTGGTAGAGGGTAGGCATCTTTACGAGTGAGGTCATTCACTCTGCGATAATCTACACATGGTCTAGTACTGCCATCTTTCTTACGCACATATACCATAGGTGATGCCCATGCAGATGTCGATTCCCTGATTACACCATTTTTCAGTTGATCTTGAATAATTTTAGCTTCATCATTGTGGAATGCTCTGGGGGGTCTACGAGGTGCTTGTTTTACTGGTGTAGCATCACCAGTATCAATTGAGTGCTGAACTAATGAAGTGCGACCAAGTTCTGTTGAATTCTTTGCAAATACATTTGCATGTTTAAGTAGCAGTTCTTTCAACTTTTTGCACTGATCAAGATTCAAAGATTTACAAGATTTTTCATACAACTCTTCTAGATGGTCAGGAAGTGCTGGCTCATTGCCAGTGAGATTTGAACATTCGGACTTCACTCTATTTAGGCTGAGGTTTGAATTATCATCCCTGTCAATTGGGATTACTTCACAAACAGGTGACATTTGAGCGATGGTTTCACCTTTATGCAATATTATGTCTTCTGCACTTGAATTTAAGACTCTGACAGGGAGGGGTATATCGGACCGATTGCTGTTTACCAGGACACTACCAATTAATAAATCATGGGGATTATCATAAGGAAGTGCTTCAATTATGCTATTTTCATTTTTGCAACAATCAGAGTTGATAACACCTGGCAATATTTGTTCACTATATGCCTGTACAATAATATCAGATTTAAGTGTGACCCTGGACACGCTATTGCATTTGCCTTGAAGCTCTGTACTTAATTCAGAGACGCTATTGTGTTACTCGCAGAGAACTTCTTGCTATTGTAACTTTCGTGCAGCAGTTTCGTCATTATCTACTAGGGAGGCAATTTCTCATCAGAACAGATCATAATGCATTAGTATGGGTGCTCAGGTTCAAGAATCCAGAAGACCAACTTGCTCGATGGCTAGAAGTATTGGGACAATACAATTTTACCATTGAACATCGGCCTGGAGCCAAACATCAAAATGCTGATGCATTATCTCGCAACCCTTGTGATCCTGACGAGTGTGATTGTTATGATGGTAGGACAATGCTAGAAGAGTTGCCATGTGGCGGTTGCAAAGACTGTACCAAAAAGCATCAAAAATGGTCAGACTTTGCAGAGATTGATGATGTGGTTCCACTCTCTAGTAAAATAAGAAGAGTAACTACAATTGCAGAAAGCACTAGATGTCCAGTGAGGCGTTTCGTGTTTCAGCTATTGATGTTAGTAACCATGATGCTGTGCTGCACAAAGCAATTTGTAGTTTCAGCATCACAAACTGTAGTTCAGTATATCAGATATTCATGTTTTAGTGTAGTTCAATCAGTTAGAAGAATCAAGGCTAAAGATAGTAGTTTATTAGAACCTTTGTATAGACCACCTAGCAGTGAGCTTAGTGGGAGATCAGACAATTCTCCAGATATTGTAACTTCGAAAGAGATTCTTGATGTGACGACAGAAAGTAATCTTAAACAGTTAGAGGTACCTGAAGAATATCAGTGGGGTTACTCGAAACGGGAAATTGCAAACATGCAATTAAATGACCCTGACATTGGTTGTGTTTTAAAGACTTTTCCTGGACAGCGTCCAAGTAGAGATTTGATGGCTATAGAGAGTCCAGCAGCAAGGAAACTATGGCTTTTATGGGATCAGTTAGTTATAATCCAAGGTGTTCTTTACAAGAGATGGCTATCAACAGATGGGGTACAGTCTCACCTGCAGCTAATTATGCCCAGAGTGTTGCAAAATGAAGTTTTACATGCACTGCATAATTCAATTGTATCTGCTCATCTTGGTGTCAAGAAGACTGTTAGTAAAATTAAGAGACATTTTTACTGGTACAGAATGAGAACCTCAGTTACCAATTGGGTGCGCCAATGTGTTACATGTGGTGCCAGAAAACAACCTAATAGACCGGCTCGTGCAAAGCTTGGGTGTTACAGTGCTGGTGCCCCACTCGATCGAATCTGCACTGACATTCTTGGGCCATTTCCAGTTTCAGATTCTGGCAATCGTTATGTCCTTATAGTTCAAGACCAATTTACTCGCTTTATTGAGGCCTATGCCATACCTGACTTTACTGCAGAAACATGTGCAAATAAAATTGTGTATGAATTTATGTCACGATATGGCCTGTCACTTGATATTCATAGCGACCAGGGGCGGAATTATGAAGCTCAGTTGTTCAAGGAAATGTGCAAGCTTTTTGAAATCACAAAGACAAGATCTAGTCCATTTCATGCTCCAGGAAATGGAATGGTTGAAGCAATAAACAAAACTATTCTCAACATGATTTCTTCCTATGTTAGTAAAAATCAGAAAGACTGGGACAAACATATCCCCCTCCTTACTTCAGCATATCGAAGCTGTAAACATGAAAGTACAGGGTACAGTCCTAACTTGCTGATGTTTGGTAGAGAATGTCGACAACCAATTGAACTTATTATGGGAGGACCTGCAGAACTCAAAGATCAAAATAAGCCTGAATATGTCACCAATCTGGGAAATACCTTGACTGACATTTACCAATTTGTAAGGGAGAATTTAAAGAAATCCATGCAAACTCAAAAGAAAGATCACGATACAAGACTCTCTGTCAATAATTATGAAGTAGGTCAGCTAGTTTATATGAGGGACACAAACAAAACGGTTGGCTTGAGCCCAAAACTAAAATCCAAAAATTGGGTTGGCCCTTGTGTGATAACAAGAAAATTGAGCGATCTATTATTTGAAATCAAAATCTCCCAAAAGGGTAAATCAAAGATATTACACCATGACAGACTAAAACCTTTTCAGAGTGATGAAATTCCAGAATGGGCACGGAGGCTGCAAGAAAAACTGAACTCTCCTTTAAGAAAAATTGAGTCAAGGGACATTGCCTGCAACACAGAAAAGTTACCTATAAAGCTAAAATTCACACAAACTCTCGGTCTGTCGACCACACATAATACTGACTCAGGGCTTTCAAAGGCATCAAAGCAGAAAAATAATCAACTATCACAACAATCCCAACAATGTTATGTAAAGCGTCATAATAAAAATACATCCTATCCTGTTTCAACCACAAAGGATAAAGACAGCATTACTCAGAAAGCAATGCCGACAAGAAGAAGTCCCAGGAAGAGACATTCCCCAGTCCGACTTGGCGTGAATGGGGCAGAGATTAAAATCACTTAGTCTTCCTTTTCTTTCATGTGAGAATGCTCAATTTTGATTTATATCCTTTGATAACATAAATTCTGACAATTATCTTGAACTTCAAAAGTTTTCAATCAAGACCTCCTCCGAGATGAATTAGCCAACCAACTGACAGAGGAAGGTATAAATATCAGACCTCTCATATGTCCAATCATTATGATGCCTGCCGAGGACACAGATGACATTTGTCTAATAACTTGCTCATTTTGTTCTCAAAACTTCGATTCAGTCAGACAACTAGCTCTACATATATACACACACTTACCTTGGTTTTACCAAGACTTTTACTGCACGCACTGTGAAAGAAATTTTGAAAGACAATCTCAATTAGAAAATCATTTAAATCTACATGGGCAATTTGACACAGACTACAAGTTAAGACTGGAGTCAAAAGTTGATAAGCTACAAGTAGATTACTATAAAGAAAACATTCATCATCATAACATTGCCAAAATTATTGAGGAAAAAGCGCCACTTTTGTCTAACCAGCGCCTGAGGAAACTGCTTCGCAAATCTAAGATGGGTAAATCATCGACCAGAAGGCCATCAACCCCATTACAAGACGAAAGCGATGCAGCCATAAATGCATTGATGGAAATGCAAGATACTATTAAACAGAGCCCACCCAACATTCAGCAAAAAGCCGTCCCTGAGGAGAAACTGGTGGTCTCCAGTCTTCCTAACCCTCCACAAACTACTAGCAGCCGGAAGAGGAAACTTGAGAGCGAAGAAAGCTCGCAACTAGCCAAGAGGGTATCCAGCCTGGAAGAGCGAATCACCCACCTCAGCTCCAAGCTTGTTCAGGTCTGTGAGCAACAATCCACAGACCTGAAAGCACACATAGATGTAGCGTTACAAGACTATACCTCCAGAGTATCCAATTATAATCTCGAGCTGACGAAAGCAATCCAACATGACATTGAAACTTTGTACCAGAATATCCTAACCAAAACTTCCACTGGCCAGCAACACAACCTAGACCATGCCTTTATTGCATTCTCAAGAACACTTTTAGAAAAGAAGTGACTTCTGAAAAAAACATAATTTATAATTATCATTACCTTAATAAGTCTCAGTGTGTTGAGCATCCACATCATATTTTAAAATCTCAGTGTGTTGAGTAAGCTATATCCATCATATTTTAAAATCTCAGTGTGTTGAGTAGCCTATATCCATTATATTTTAAAAAGCTCAGTGTGTTGAGTAGCAATATCCATTTTATTTTCAATGTTCAGTGTGTTGAACAAATTTATTATGAACTCAACAAAATTCCAGTGTTTTAAAAAAATGTTCAGTGCTTTGAACATTCATCATATCCAATAATCTATGATGTTCAGTATTTGAACAGGACAATTTTGTTCTATGACATTCAATTAGCTCAAGTATCTTAATGTTTTCTGTCACCCAATATATTCATAAGTTATCAAGTGCAACAGAGTGTTACATCAACATTTGTATTCATCATACAACTAAAGCAATGTTTTGACTGAGTGACTTTGTTGATATTTTGAAAACATATTGCCCGAGGCATTTAGACATTAACCAGTGATTTAATTTTGACTTTTAATATGATTACCTTAGTATTGGACTTTTGAATTTAGTATAAATATCTAGTTTAAAGTTAAATTGATAACTGTTACACTTGAGCTACTGACTGATTTCTTTTTGATTTTTGCCAATGTGTCCAGGAGTACACATGACTAGTGGGAGATAGTGTTGGGTTTTTTTAAGTAATGCCAGGTTTCAATTCTTGCATAAAGATGGCAGCATAGCTGAGCATCAAGACTTAACAAAATCATTGAAGCCAAAAGCCACAACTCTGTTCTTTTCACTCATCATATAGGCAATACTTAGTCATTTCTCAAACCCAAACTAGCTGGACTCTGTTATTTTCACAAACCTGTATCTCAATACTTAAACATTTTGCATCCAACCAAAGGGGCTGGACTCTGTCATTTTGCAATAACAGTGGTTCATGACTTAGGCAATTTTGATCATTCATACAGTTGGACTTAACCATTTTCAGTGACATTTCAGTAAGAACTTAGGATAATTTTGTCATTAAGTTTCATTGGCACTTTGCCAAATTGGTCATTGGCAGGTTGCCAATTGTGGTTTGGCAACATGCCAATAGTAGTACTATATAAGAGGCTTCGAAACCTCACCCTGGGAGTTATGATCTGGAGTTACGATCCGGAGTTACGATTTGGGTCTTTTACAGTCAGTACAGTAGCTCAGTAGTATATAACCTGTAAATAGATAGTGTAGTTTGACTCTATATAATAAAGTATCGTATGTTACTCTGAACTCTGAAGTTTGTCGTATCATATTGGCGTCATCGTTTCGTAGAGACCCAACAATATTCATTTAGGCTGATGTATAACGTAGGAGTGGGCCGGGGTGGCCCTTGGTCAGGCTTGCTCGGGCCGGGAACATTGGTCTGCCCCAAACATGGGGCTCTTGAGGTCAATACCCGTGGGTGCCCAAATTTTAAATTTGTCTTGCCAATTTCAAAATCATCATTAAATCCATCTTTCAAGACACGTAAGTTAATGTTTCAACTATCAATATGATCATTTATGAGTATACTGTCACACTGCAGGTTCTGGATGCTACCATTCCTGCTGATAATCCTTTATGTATTTACACTGCATGTTCTCGATGCCTTTATGTATTTACACTGCAGGTTCTGGATGCTACCATTCCTGCTGATAATCCTTTATGTATTTACACTGCAGGTTCTGGATGTTACCATTTCAGTTGATAATCCTTTATGTATTTACACTGCAGGTTCTGGATGCTACCATTCCTGCTGATAATCCTTTATGTATTTACATTGCAGGTTCTGGATGCTACCATTTCTGTTGATAATCCTTTATGTATTTACATGGCAGGTTCTGGATGCTACCATTTCTGTTGATAATCCTTTATGTATTTACATTGCAGGTTCTGAATGCTACCATCCCTGCTGATAATCCTTTATGTATTTACATTGCAGGTTCTGAATGCTACCATTCCTGCCTGCTGATAATCCTTTATGTATTTACACTGCAGGTTCTGTATGCTACCATTTCAGTTGATAATCCTTTATGTATTTACATTGCAGGTTCTGGATGCTACCATTTCTGTTGATAATCCTTTATGTATTTACATTGCAGGTTCTGAATGCTACCATTTCTGCCTGCTGATAATCCTTTATGTATTTACACTGCAGGTTCTGTATGCTACCATTTCAGTTGATAATCCTTTATGAATGTATTTACACTGCAGGTTTTGGATGCTACCTGCACTTGTGCTCAAGAAGATGGTGATGGGGAATTTTGACAAGGGAATAGTGGATAGTGGTATAGCCGATTCCATAGACTTTATGGTAGACAAGGTAAAAGAATGATTGAATACATTATAAAGATTTCTCATTTACTGATGAAAACTGAATGCACATTATTTATCTTTCTTTTAAACTGACCCAGATCAAAACTTTCTGTCTTTGAGCACATTCTTATGTTGCAACCTGGAGAAAAAATAAGTTAACTTAAGCAACTCATCACTACATTGCAAAACTGGCCAGTTTATTGTGTTGTGTTGTATTCATCAACAAGCACATGGATCCTTGTCCAGTTATTTACCATAGTTGTCTCGTGTATTATCTGTTTGTCATGTAATTATTACGTCACCACCAGAAGTGATGACAAATTGTTATAGTATCCAATTTTTCTGTGGATAGTGTTTGACAATTGGTGTTGTCTGAATTCAGTGTCTGTTTTTCTCCTTGGTTTTAGTTGGATAATCTAGGACAGCAAGAGCTGGCATCCAGACTTACCATTAACTGCCAGAATGCTTACATAGAACCCCAGAAACTTAACCTTGTAGAAGTCACTGTTATGGATGTGAGTATTATTATTTAGAGATCAGGGAGGCATGATTTTTGACTTAAGGCCAGGAGAAGGCTGGGCATTGTTTCTAATCATTAGGCCGATGCTGTAGATTGCAAATATAGCAGATAATCCAATCATGTCTGCTGATGGTACATTACCAACAAATTTTTGAAAATACTTATTATCCCACCGAACGAAGTTCGAGGGGGATAAAGGAAAGCCGCCTGTCCGTTTGTCTGAGGGATAACTCAAATACCGGTTGACAGATTTGATTCAAATTTTATAGGCTTATGCCTTATGGCGATAAAACCTCTGCTCGAGAAGGAGTTTTCAATATGGCCGCTTAATTTTAAAATGGCCACCATTTTTTGTAAAAGTAAATTTTATATGCTGATGCCTAGGGATAAAGGAGCTACGCCGAAGAAGAGATTTTTAGAATGGCTGCTAAATATCAAAATGGCGGCCATTTTTTCGTCTTGATAACTCAAATACTAGTTGAAGGATTTGGTTCAAATTTTATATGCTGTCGCTGCTTAGGGACAAAGAAGCTACCCTGAAGAAGAGATTTTCAAAATGGCTGCTAAATATAAAAATGGCGGCCATTTTTCGTGAAAAAATGTAATCTTTGATAACTCAAATAGCAGTGAATGGATTTTTTTGAAGTTTTATATGCTGATGTCTAGGGATACAGTAACTCTGTTCGAGAAAGATTTTCAAAATGGCAGCTTAATTTCAAAATGGAAAAAAGGAATGTAATCTTTGATAACTCAAATGCTGATTGATGGATATGGTTAACAACTTGTATGTTGATGCCTCGAGACAAACAAGCTGCTGAAGAAGGAATTTTCAAGATGGCCACTAATAAGCAAAATATGTCTCGTTCGCTGGGATTTGCTACTCCTTGGAGTTGCTGTTTTTCTAACTCATAAATCTTTTATGTATGCAGTTCATATAAAACAAAGAAAAAAATTATTTTTCGCAGCGAAGGTCTGCAGACTGGTGTCAAATTTGGACCTGGCAACCAAAAGGCTAACCATTTGAACTAAGCATCAGTAATTACCTGCTTGAACCAACCATATTCTATCACGTGTATTTTTAAAAATGGCTTAACAAGCAAGTGTTGAGAGCAAGCTTGTAAAAAGAACTCCAAAATTCAACGAATACATATAACAAAAACACTTACAAGTTGACACTTTTTAATTCCCTTTTATATGTTGCAGGTTTTTGACGAATGTGCCTTATCACAAGCAGTAAAAGACGAAATGTATAAATGTTATCCCAACGCTAAAAGAGCTCATCTAAAAACTGGTGGCAACTTCCCATATCTCAGTCGTAGTGAGGAAGTTAACATTCATATACAGGTAAACCTTTCAACTTTTGAAACAAGGTATTTCAAGCCAATAAATGTGAAATAAAAAGCTTATAAATAAGTGCACATGAAGTACATGTGGTTGCAGTTTGAATGTACCACTTACCTATTTGGTCCTGTCCTGTATTTCAGATACACCTGAGGACATTCCTAAAGAGTAGGTTTAGTGCACGAGAAGAGTTGCCATCTGAAACGCCATCTATTAACCCAGAACCAAGCACATCAAAAACAGAACCAGCAACCGCATCTGCTGGCGATGGAGATTGATAGAAGAATAAACCAATGCACAGAAGTACAATAATTCATGTGTGTGTGTGTGATATGACAATAGACAACAATGATGCGTTTTTCTACAAAGTAGTGGCCAAGATTGTAATCAAAAATAAAAATTACAATTTAATTAGTATTTAATCAGCATTAATAGTTCAACCCTGCTTGTTATTATTCTAATCTGGTATAGTAGCCTATCTATCATATTAAATTTGAGTTTCAAGAAGAGATTTAGAAGTGGCCAAAATGGATTGTGCAATATAATAGACTGAAATATAAAAGGATACAATGCTGATGATACAAATGTAACAATATAATATACCTCCCCCAGTGAACATTATTTTATTTTGTGTATGGTCATTTGAGGCCTATTAGGAAACTTCAAAGGACTCAGTATAGATCTATGGAAACTGCGAGAGTACATATATTATTATATACACTACTACTACAGTACTACACAAGTCAATTGGAGGCTTTGAAATATTAACTCGAAGAATGCAAAGGTGATGGAGTGGTGGAGTCAAGGACTGATGTGAAAATTGAGACAGTTTATATAGTATTGTACATTATAGTACTGTACTTAGCAGTTATGTCCCTATCATTGAATATATGCCTGAGGTCTGTCATCAATATAGCCCGAGCTTGCGAGGGTTATATTACGACAGACCGAAGGCATATATTCAATGATACGGACATAACTGTTGTATTACATACTTTTATATCATGGCTACGTTATATCAATGACGCCACGTGTATAGATCTATGAAAACTGCGACAGTACATTACTAATACTGTCTACACAAGTACTGTACTTAGCAGTTATGTCCCTATCATTGAATATATGCCTGAGGTCTGTCATCAATATAGTTTCATATAATTATTATGACAGACCGAAGGCATATTTTCTATGATACGGACATAATTGTTGTATTACATACCTAAAGTACATTTACATAACATTTCATGAAGATAATAATATGGAGAAATGCGCGAAAAAAGACCAAAGTTTTACACGATTCCAGTCAAAATAACTGTGTCTGTATGTTATGACGTCATAAAATTGTCATGGTAATAAAGTTTGGCGGCTATACAGGAATATATAGCCGACCTTCCGCTCCATTGACTTCCATACAAATGCTTCGCTAGGTATGTAATACATATTCATACAAGTGATGTACAAGCATATTACAGTATTATAAAACTGTAAAAGTACATTTATAGTACTAGTATCGTACAAGTACATTATAGTATTGTGCATGTGCATTATAGTACTGTATAGGTACATTAAAGTATTGTACAAGAACATTATAGTACTGTACAAGTGCATAATAGTACTGTACAGGTACATGTATATTATAGTACTGTACTAGTGCATTATAGTACTGTAAAAGTGCATTATGGATGGCACTGTAACAAAATAACTTGTTACAGTACGATATGTGAATTAGATGGCAAATGGCAAATGGCAAATCAGGAACATTACAAACCATTAGATCTTAAGGGATTATCCTTTCAGAAAAAAATTCTGAAACATGTTTCATTAGTAAAAGATGATTTTGGGGTACGAAATAAAATATATTTTACTTTCTAAAACTGTAAGATCCCCAGTGTTAATTGGTTAACCACTAATCCGTTAGGACATTTATTGTTTATACTGCATATGGTGCATGCATTTTTGTACCATCTTGGAGATGTTATGCACAGACAGGGTTAATGCAACCCATTGCTTAGCATTCCTTTATTACGTTTATATCTCCATATAGTTGGTACAGTGATCTCCCCAGCATTAAAGCAAGTGGGTGCAGCACCCACCTGAGATTTTGAAAATAGGCTTGCACCCACCTGAAAATTCATTTGCACCAACTTGAAAATGAGAAAAATCAGGAAAATGGGCATATTTTGACTAATTTTGGTCTGAATTGTGAAAATGAGAATTTTGCACCCACTTGAGAAAAAATCCTGTGAAGATCACTGGGGTACATAGAGAAACACAAAAATGTATCCTTTGTATATCATGTTCAAATCAAAAGTACTTTCAATATCCTCTGGTGTTCACACATTTAACAGTTGATGGTTAAATTCATTTCAAGGTTGTAAATCTGGTCATAAATCTGATTAAGCTTTATTCTTTGGTCAGAAGGTTGAAGAACTGTAAAAATGAGTCTTTGATGGTGTTAACACCAGTTTGGGACAAAATTCAGGTAATCTGATTAATTTATCATTTTTAAATTGCAAAATTTAAGAACAAATACAATGCCATTCTATTTCTTGGTCAAACTATAACCAATGAGAATTTTGTGTTTGATTTCTTTATTGTTACCAGTTTATATAAAGCTCATGTGCCATGCAAACATGCTCCAATGTTAAATTGTAAAAAAGAGTCAATTCTCTGCATATCCCTCATGTAGAGTGTGTGTATCACTTGATAGATACAAAAATACTGAAAACAAAGAATGAGTATTCATATCAATATTCCATAAATATTTCTAAAATTAGTACTCAATAATCCAAATTTAAACATTTTCAAGAAAAGATCATTTATTTCTGTTGCATTATTCAAAATATGGTACATTAGATATTATTAATGAAGGTGATATTTATTTCTACTATGCATAAGCATATTGTAGGAGAGTTGTGACTACATAAGGTGAATGTATAAAAACAATATTAAAAGCATATACTTGTATTATTTTCAATACATCTGTTATGTTTGTTTATTGTTAATGGTTTAATGTACAGCACCAGTAAATGGCTAACATGCCAAATTTTTGAGGATGAGTGCCAGACTTACTGAATAATGATGGACGCCAGTTATGAAATGATAATTTACGAATCAAATAGCTGCAATTTTTACCATCCTGGACTGGAGTTTGTAATAATATTAAGTTTTGCACTTAAATAACAGACGTCATACAATTTTGTAAACTTTTACAAGAGACCAACAATTCATATCGGGGAGAGAATGAAAGTCCTCATCTCATTAGATTTTGAATTCCACATATTAAAGGTGTATAAGGATAATTGTCTCAGTCTGAATCTCCATAATGATTTCACATCCATTCAAAATGTGCTCCAGTGTAATGTCGCAGATTTACACATTTTCATCACGTATGTAGTACCCAGCATCCCTTTTGTTGTCGTCTCCATAGTAACTTAATTCCACCCCTTGTTTTGATCCTGGTTTTATATCCATGCTTGTTTTTTCTTTTAATAACACTAGGTCTGTAGTTAAACCTCTTTGTTCCTCTCACAAACTGAGATAATATTCCGAAATTAGGTTGAAGAAGGTTGGTGTTGAATCCATTGATAGCAAGTCCCAAGGAGCCTTGTTGTACGCCTGTATTTATTAATTTGGGCTGTCCATTTAATTCGGGTGTTGAAGGATTTTTTCTGATTGCAGAAAAGTTCCGAGAAATCACTGAGGTAAATGAAGGTTGGAGATTTTGTAGAGAACAAGCATTCATTGGCTTCAGTCTGAAACAAAAGTAAAATATATTAAAAGTATTATTTTATTTTAAAAGCATGGAAAAGTGTGTCGGTTCAGTACTTTCTCTTAGCCTTAGACCAAAAAATAGCACATCTTAACTGCTTTTGGCTTACAACCTAGGTTTCATGAAATTACACAAGTGTGACATGGCACTTATGTATGTATTTTTTTGAGACAATGTCAGTATATTTGTGACAAAATATTTGTCCATGGGAATTCTACTATTTGCCAGTCTTTAGATGTCCACATAACAACAAAATACATAGTAGTATGGATTCATGGTACAATGTGAGGTTATTCCCAGAGGCACGTGAACAGATAGTAAGGTAGAGTTGTCCCTAAAGACCTGGGTTTTCCTCTACAAATAGACCCACATCTAGGGTTTTTATTTCAAAAATAGACCCACTTCGAAGTAAGTTTTAAAAAACAAGACCCACTTCCAGGGATTTTTTTGTCAAGAACAATACCCAGCTTTAGGATTTTCAAAAAGTAGACCCAGTTCTAGGAATTATTTGTCAAAATAGGACCCATATCTATGTTTTTTCTTCAAAATGGGACACACATCTGTGAAAAAGTTACCTACTTTAGTGGCACATTCCCATATAGCCAATATATAGGAATACCCCCTCCAGCCTAAAGATCACCCCCTCCACTCTGAGTACCAATTTTTTTTTCCTGGTACACAGAGTGGAGGGGGGGGGGAGTTCTTTCTGGAGAACTTAGCTTACTGTTGCGTTATTGCCCCAAGCAGAATCATTGTTGATGAATATAGTCTTGAGTAGGGATAATGAGGATTACAATTGGTATTTTGGTTTCCTGTATAAAAAAATGTTTTCTTTTTCTGGACCAGCATAGCACCATCTAGTGTTTAATAATATAAATCGAGGTTTATTCTCCATAGGGTGTATCTAATCTATCAGGAAACATTTCCAAGTTTCGTTAGAAACAGAATTTCTAGAGATGGCAGGGTGAATGATTTCGAGACTATGTAGAGCAGAATAATTTTCTGAAACAAGTATGTAGCTTTCAGTGGCAGCTCTCATAGGCCTAGGGAAAGGTAGTATTTAGACAAGTCCTAGACTCTAGCTCAATCTAGAAAGTCACTTATTTATTGAGCTCAATAGTACTTTTCCATTGGCCTATAGACGGGATCATGATATCATTCATTTCAATCATTTATTTTTCAATCCATATCAATGTAAAACCTCATATGACCGTGACAATGCTATATTATATTGCAAGGCCTGTCACGACCATGGTAATGTTGAAGCCTTATATGGCTGTGGCAATGGTTGTAAGGCATGTCATGACCGTGGTAATGTTAAAGCCTGATATTACCGTGACAATGTTCACATTCTTGAATGAGATTAGAATTATAGTTTGTGGAAATGAATTATGAGTTAAAGTAGTAGTAGTAGTCTAGATTTACATATTTAAGGTAGATAAACGATGACATTTTTCATTACAGTATTCTCATGCTAATAAATGTCACTTCATATAACCATTGTCACGGTCATATCAGGCTTTAACATTACCATGGTCATGTCAGGCCTTGCAATATAGTATAGCATTGTCACTGTCATATCAGGCTGAACATAACCACGGTCATGACAGGCCATGCAATATAATATAGCATTGTCACGGTTTACTTCCTGCGAAAGCTATTTGGATTTTGATATAATAGCTTTCCCACGGAGCATTTGGACAGCTGAATGATTGTGACCTTTGAAATCGAATTAAGTCGATCCGCGGCTTACTTTTGGTCTCCAACTGTGTCTTACATCAGTATCATCAATCAATCAATCCGTGTAAGTATTAGAGCGCTGAAATACTTCTTTTTCAATCAAGACTTGTAAATTGTTCATCAAGTGAATGTTTTTTAGACCTATTTCCAATATGGCGGTGTGCTAGGAGCGAGATACGCAACGAACGAAATGAATTTTGAGAATTAGTTAGGTTCGGACAACCTCCGGAGATTTATGAAAATGTCCGAGCAGAAAACGCCATATTGGAATTTGGCAGTAAAAACATTCACTCGACTAACAATTACAAGTCTTGATCGAAAAGGAAGTACTTCAGCGCTCCAATACTTACACGGATTGATGATACTGATGTAAGACACAGTTAGAGACCAAAAGTAAGCCACGGATCGACTTAATTCGATTTCAAAGGTCACTATTAATCAGCTGTTCACTTCCCCGTTTGAGAGCCATAAGTTTCAAAATCTAACATGGCTCTCGAAGTGAGTAAGTCACGGTCATATGAGGCTTTAACATTCATGGTCATGACAGGCCTTGCAATATAATATAGCATTGTCACGGTTATACCAGGCTTTCATGATAACACTACCACGGTCATGGCAGGATCCTTGCGAAACTTAAAAACACTTAATAAGATGGTGACGGTTGTGCCAGGCATAAGTCTTGCAACAGATAGGGTCTCGCCTAAACTTCGAAAATAAAATGGGCCAGTTTTGAACCCATTTGGGTCGACACAGACACTACTCTACTCACGTTTCAGATGTTCTCAATAACGTCTTTGGCAGCACGAACAGTCTAGACAAGTGTCGATACATTAAATTCATAGTTTTACAGTAGAAAAGGATTGAGAAGTCACAAAAAGTAAAATATTTCAATCATTCGGCTCTGAAAGTTGAGGCTCGTTAGTTTACTGCTTTAATTCAACGAACGACCTAAATTATCAAATTCGTTCGGGATTTGTATACCTGTTAAAATCCCGAACATTAAAAGCTACAACATGAATATAAAATGCCTGGCCCTTCAGATCTATGAAATCTAGTATCCATGAAAACATCAGTGAATTATTATGGATGTGTTACAAGAAACCACTTGATTTTGAAATATTCCTGGGCCTTGGCATAGGGTTACCCCCTGGGTGTTCACTGTGTACAACCACGGACCTGAAGAACTTAAAGTCCGTGGTACAACATTTGGCGGAGGTCCTAGGCTGAACCCTCAGATATCAATATATAATTCCCATACCAAAATGTCAAGTTTGGATGTGTTCCCATACCAACTGATATAGTGCCCAAAGGCCATACCAAATGCCCAAATATGAAACCAATGCCATACCAAATGTCAAAATATAGGACCAATGCCAATGCCATGACTTATTTAAACTGAATATGGTCCCAAGAAGAAGGCGATCTTTGAGGAATATGAACCAAAACAACCTCATATTAGGATATGTGTAACTACTAGACCAATTCCATACCATAATTGTGAGATAACATATTTTCCATGACCATTCCCATTCCAGAAAGTTGAAAAATCTGACTATTTCCATCCCTCAAAAGTCATAATGAGGGGGCATTCTCATACCACATTCTAAAATTTGGGTCCATTGCCATACCAAATGTCAAAAAAGATACCCCATGTGCGCCGAGGATCCCTGTCAAGGTTTACATACAGTGAATCCCCGGGAGGTTACCCAGAAACGCAACCTTCTAATTTTGGAAAAAGCCTTTAGAGGTTTAATTTTTTGTGTTACCCTGTATATCACAGTCTGTATACTAAACAGGGACGTACTGTAGTCTAGCTTCAATTCCTTGTGATCCGCGCACCACACACTTCATGTTCTGTAGGTGCATATAGGTAAAGTAAGGGGAGGGTGTTGTCATATAAACAATACAATCACTGGCATTTGGTACGAAAAAGTGGTATTCCACTTATAGAGGTTCAGTTGGTCTTGGGACTCTGAAATTAAATTATTCCACTAATAGAGGTGTTCAATTACTGATTACCTGATTACCATTACCAAGGTACTTCAAGAGTTTTCACTCTGTACGAAGCTGCATTTTTCCAAGTACCTTGATGATGATAACACAGGGGAAACTATGAGACGGTCCCTGGCTCAATTAAGTCAGTACGTCCGTTACTCAATAGATGGCGTATCTGTCTGCATAAAGTTTTACGGCGGAAATTCAGAACTGAGACAAAAGTGAAGCCGATGAGACGTGACTTAATTTCACCGAATAAATCTTGATATATGGACTCAAATCAAAGATAAACCTTGACATCGTACGTGATTTATAAAATCATACTGAACATTCGCTGCATCTCGTGGAAAGAGAGAGGCAATACTCTAAAATCAAAGAGAAAGAAAATATGCAACTTTGAAACTTTTGAAACATTCGCCAAGATGGAGGTTAACAAGTTCTTCAACTTTGCAGTAATTTTATGTGTGTTCTCAACAGGTAAGATTAGTTGATTACCATTCGATTCAAATATTTAAAAGCTATTATAATGTTTATATCCCACGAGATACTGATATGTGGTGGATTATCATTTTGTTTTAATTTGACTGGAAGCTGAGAGTGGGAGGGGGAGGGGCAGGCGAGGAGTTATATTTTAGAATAATACATCTACATCTATCATTATGCTAATTTAAGCAAGATAGAATATTTGTAATATCTGTAACAACTGCATAAAGCTTCGTGTCAAAATGGTATGTCGTAGGCTATTGAACTGAAGAATCGAGACACATTTTATATTCATGCTTGATTGCACTTTTTAACGAAATTCTTAGGTAGATTGCTTTATGATTTCGTTATTGTTATAATCATCATTAATAAATTCAAATACATACCCAGTTCAAATAATTTGAAATATTTTAAAGTGACATTTCTCCAAATCTTTTTTGATTATTTTCATTTTTGTGAAAGTAAGGAATTAACTAAGTTCATTTTTCATCTTTCATCTCTTCCTCATCTGTCTTTTTCAATAATCAAGCAAATTACATACAGGTCGCTATGAGCAACCGTCTGTAAAATTAAATAATCCAAAAACAAGTTATGAATGCCTAAGTAATAGTATGGAACTAAAAGGATGATCTAATCATTGGCAGTTTTATATTCATGATGATCTACAATTCAGTGCAACTAATCTTATTTAGGACCCTGGTAATAACACCAGATTTATTCTGATTTCATTTTTTATGAAGCAAGAGAATAGTTGAAAATCTTATGAAAGCCTATTGTTCAGTTTAAGTTTGTGCCTGTGTTTTTGCATGACTGACTTCAACAGTATACCATCAATGATCAGTATTCTTAAACATTCATCATGTCATTATCTATGGTTCTGTCAATTCAATTATATTCATACTTGACTACCCCTTTTAATGATGTAATGTTACCTTGAAATATTTTTTATATAGATGAGTCAACATCTGTTTATTTTAATTTTGAAATCACACATCTTTTTTATGGGTTTTATTTCAGGTCTGTTTTTAAAATCTTAGATTTCATGTTAGATATCTGGCCAGGGACAACTGAGCATGAGACTTGAAGGAGCCTTCTTGTAATTTGCTCACCAGAAACTTGATACTTTTAGATTAGGCACCGTGTTGGAGAAAATACTGGTAACACAAATATATCCAGGAATATACACCATACCCTCAAACTAAAAACATGTTTTTAGATATTTTCTGAACTGTGAAATATTTTTTGGTGGTTTGCGATTAAGATTTTTATCAGTTGTCGATGACAGAACGTGAATACCATAATTGGTCTACCCAAAATGTGTCAGTCCGTTTTGGTTCTGGTTAATAACTAATGGATTTTTGATAAGTCAGAAATGAGGTTAAAACATTCTACATGTAAATGTTATAAACACATATAAAGTATGTAGATAAAAGTAAAAGTGATACATGGTTGCACTCGCTTCTTATCTGATAATGTTTAACAGATTTTAATTATACTTCTCTGGGGTAAATCCTTTATTTGAGGTTTCAAATATGACTACTCAAGCTTTATGTTCGATAGTAGTGAGGTAGGGTAGTAACTTCATTAGATAAAGAAAAAGTTGAATAAGGCATCCCCAGCTATCTATAGCCCCAAATTGTATTCAAAGACAAATGGGTCAAACAGGAGCTTGGTACATGTAAGACTACTGTCCTGTGTTGTTGGATTTACATCCTGTACTATATCTCTTGGGGTATCTATCTCAAGCATTAGATAAAGAGGGACTCAGATAAACCAGAATGGCTGACCTGTTTTAAAGTTTAAGCTTTGTCATTTTCAGAGATTTATTATCATTAATGTTTTATAGAAAGAATTGAAATACCCGAGAATGTCCTTTCCTACATGTCTAATTATATGATTTTTCTTCATGTACTCTTAATTACTTGGTCTAATTGCTTGGCTTTGACATTAGGAGTCACCAAGTTTGGGAATTATGGGAGCTATGTCAGGTGACCACAAATATTGGAACAATTTAAGAATAATAGGATATGTTTACTTCTCTCCTTAGCTATAAACAATGTAATCAATGCTGTGTATGACATTCAGGATTATTTGATCCCTCAAGAAAATATCAATGATTTTCAGAAATATTATGTTTGCATAGCCTAATAATTGAATTTCTTTAGATGGCTTTGAAAGCGAAAGAGTATAAATGGACATGTTTATTACCATCTTTGTCTTTGTAGGTGAAAATCAAAAGTTCAAGTGAAATGTTATTACCTTTTGAAATGTGATGACACCCTATGTAACTAATTTGAAATCATGATTTGGTTGTCATGGTAAACTGATCTGTATTTTATCTATCTGTTAGTTTTTATGTCTGCAGCTATATCTGTGATGTGTTCCTTATGGGGACTACTTTATCCAAGATTATGCTCATAAACGCCCCTTGTGTTCCACTTAACAACAGTTCTTTGAAATCCTGCTGAGGAAAGGGAAGACAACATTTTATTTTAATCATTTATACTTACAATGTATTAAAGGGGCAACAAGGACTGTAGAGAGAAAATTCACAATTTTTTCTTTTTTCTGAGCTATCAGGTCAATATTTGACTTAACATCTTCTTTGACATACCTATTTTCTGTTGTAAATTCAGTTCAAAGCTTCTATAAAGGGAGTCCCACTTATAGATTTTTAAGATTCACCATGTTTCAAGAGGAATATCAGCTGAAATAATGATCATCCAGGGTGTTTCTTTGTAGATAATAAAAAATATATGTTAGTCTTGATGAAATATCCAAACTTATATATATTTTGACACTGGTCGATGATTGTTGAATGGCCCCCATGCATTAATTGTTGCACCTTTAAGTATGAATATACTAACCAGTGATATGTGCCTTAGTATCAAACACCTACTGATATTAAGATTTATTGAAATATATGATACCATACCATGCAATCATAGGTGGTAATTGTGAAGTTACTACCATTAGTTCCCTGACCCAAAGGTACAGGTAAGTAGATAGAAAACTGAGGGCATCAGAACGCCACGGGCCGCCACGGGCCCGGGGCTTTCAAAATCTCTGAAGATGAGCAGGAGATATAGATGAGCAGGAGATAAATTAATTAGATGGGGATTAGGAGATAACTTAATTGGATGGGGCTTTCATCTTAAATGGGTGAGAGATAAGATACGCATGACATCATTGTTATCTTAAATGGGTGAGAGATAAGATGCGCATGACATCATTGTTATCTTAAATAGGTGAGAAATGTATTTCTTGGACTGAATAGTAAAGTACAAAATAAATCCTTTTAATATTATTTTAAATTTGGTATAATCCATTAACAGTGTTTACAATTCTACTTTCAATATTAACCCAACATTGAAAAGAATCAATAATCCTATTGAGCTGGTCAAACAAATACTGTTCGCATAAAAGGAAAGAGAACTGGATTTTGGATTAAATATGTGTACAGATGAAAAGGTTTATTTATTTAAGACCTATATTGAATTGACCGTTGAAAAGGTTTATTTATTTAAGTCCTATATTGAATTGACCATTTGATCTTACTATACTTGATTTCAACAATAATGGTCTTTTAATGTAATAATTGAATGTTGACATTTAATTGTGTCATCACAATGTTAATCCTTCATATTCTAGAACATCTTTTGTTTACAGTGTTAATCCCCTTTTTCAAAAACAGATTATAGCGATGAGTCATTATTCTGGAAGGTTCCAGAAGTTTGACAGAAAAATCTATTGAATGTATCTTAAGAATATAAATAATCTTTCAACTTTCTAATCTGGAATGGTCAATAACAACAAGAACTACATTAATTCACGACATCAGTTTCTAAGAATATCACGACATCAGATGTTGATAAGAAGTTGATATTGATGCCACTTGACAATATATATTGAGTGAAATATTCAAATCTTTATCATTTCAATCCTCATACTTGATATATACACATCAACTAAAAACCATGAAATTAGTACCATATGTAGACAACCCAGAACACTGGTTGAAACTTATTCGAGCTGGGAGACAGAATAGATTGAAAGTATCTCAAACAGGAAGAGGGTGGATAGGCATAGATGACATTAAAGAAGATACTAAACCGGTACAAATCATTTCACCCATGACCGCAGTTGTCGACAGAGCAAAGGCACAATTGAAACGTCAACATGAAGATATGAAATATGAAGAGTATAGACCATCTAAAGAGAAACAACAAAACTCTGTAAATATAAAGAAGAAACATCCATTTAAACAGAAAAAACAAAACACTTCGAATACAAGAAAGAAACGGACATTCTTATACAAACCACCTGGTATCCCAGCAAGGATGGACGATTAAAGTTATTTGTATATAATACTGAACGATATGAATAAAAATAAATAACTAAAGTTTCAAATGTTGTTTTTTTTCAAATGTTGTTCATTTACAAATGGTTTGAATATGTATGAACATTAGTTAGCATTACCTCATTAGCATCTGTTAGCATTATCATTAGCATATGTTAGCATTATCATTAGCATCTGTTAGCATTACCATTAGCATCTGTTAGCATCATCATTAGCATATGTTAGCATCTGTTAGCATTAGCATTAGTATCTGTTAGCATTACCATTAGCATCTGTTAGCATCATCATTAGCATATGTTAGCATCTGTTAGCATTAGCATTAGTATCTGTTAGCATCATCATTAGCATATGTTAGTATCTGTTAGCATTACTTAGCATTACCATTAGCATTACCATTAGCATATGTTAGCATCTGTTAGCATTACCATTAGCATCTGTTAGCATCATCATTAGCATATGTTAGCATCTGTTAGCATTAGCATTAGTATCTGTTAGCATTACCATTAGCATCTGTTAGCATCATCATTAGCATATGTTAGCATCTGTTAGCATTAGCATTAGTATCTGTTAGCATCATCATTAGCATATGTTAGTATCTGTTAGCATTACTTAGCATTACCATTAGCATTACCAT